CGAGCCAGTAACAATTCTGTCTACTGTCCCGAGCATCTCTCACACTGGCCCCGGGCCATTGGGCAGTCCTTATTGTTGAGCCCTGTACAAGTAAGCAAAACAGCAAAAAAAGAGGACTAATCAAGCCAAGTAGTGATACATATTATAGATTAGGGAAAAAAACAACAACAACATTGCAGATAAAGGCAAACAGTAAATGTTTTCTGAACATTAGCTTTCTGAATGAGAATGATCAGTAGCACTGAGCCAGTGTATCATCCAGAATGCACTTCCCCAATCACCACACACTTACTGTACATCACTGTAGTTCCTATTGCACTGATGTAGACCCTGCTCTGATGTAGCAGCTCAATTAAGCTTCTTTTTCATGGTGCAGTACAGTATAATTTGGCATGGCATGCCTCCAAAGAATGGTTGATTTTGCTAAGCTCGGATTGATTTTCTCTGCAGATTAGTACCTTTTAAAGTGGGGTGGAAGTAGTTGCTCTACTGCCGTCCCGGATCTGCTCTTCAGCTACCAACAAGAGTAAGGTCTCAACCTCTTTTTACCAACCATAACGCTGGCATTTTAGGAGTCTTTTTCTTGTGGTGCAACAAAAATGGTGTAGGCCCAATCCTAATTCAATGATTGTACCCCTTAGCCCTTGAAACAGTATGTGAAGGCGAAGGGCTTAAAAATTTACCACAAAAAAAAAAGAAAAAAGGGGGACACCACTATAACACCTGCAATGGCGACTGCTGTAGTCATTCCAGTTGCCTTATTTTTTGGTATTTATCTTCAGGAAATCACTGAAGGCGTATATTATGTTATCATAATGAGACAATGTTTCAGTAAGATCATAACTGTATTGTGCGTTTACACAGTGGCCATATTCATCTATGTAAACACACAAAAACAACATTATAGAAGACACTGTAAAATGTTAATTCCCGGCCACTAGAATTTTCTGACAGGGTATTCGAGAGTCATCGAGTGACAATGTTGTGGGACTGCTATACAGTAGTTATTATTAGGGATTATAGATGCCTAAAAATAGCGTTTTTTTTTTTTTTTTTTTAAAGCATGGCGATAAAACAAACACTGTTATGAATGTACTATAACACATGCTTGTCTGTTTTAAAAATTAATAGTAATGACAAAAATATATATACTAATTTGTGCATCTCCTTACTTCCATGTGCATGCTGCCGTTGTAGATGGTGTATTCTGGGAAATTTTCTTACCCCTTGGTTTCAAGTGTGGTCCTGAAATAAATCTCTGTTTCAAGGGGTATCTAGCCCTTCCCCTTAGCTCTACACCTTCAAGCTAAAGAGAATTGGGACACCCCTACCCCTTCACGTGAATGTGCAAATCGAGGGGAAGGGCTAAGGGGTAGAATTGGGATAGGGCCTTAGTCGAACCAACTTGTAAAGCAGTAACAATTTAAATAAAGCGTGTTTGGTGTTTCCTGTCAAAAATTCAATGATGTTGGTAAGTGACAACTCCCTAATTGGGGATATGCAGTGTATACCTCAACCGAGGTGGTATTAAAACAATGGCAAAGCCTCTAAAAGTGAGCCATACTAAACAAACCACACTGGACCAAAAATGAAAAGCGCCTTTAGTTTCCCCTGAAAGAGTTCCTTGAACTAAAAATGCTGCAGTATGAACATACCAAAAAGCAGAGATTCCACCAACGGTTCAAACAAGTTTCTCCGATGTAAAAGCCTCATGTTTGTGATTACTTCCTTTTTATGAAAAAAATATTCTTAAACAAGAAACATAAGCATAAAACAAGATAGTAGCAGAAAATAGTCTGTCCAAAATTACACAATATTGAATCAACTTACTTATTAAACATCATATGCAATATCAATTGCACACATGCTATTTGGGACAAAGACGGCAATCGTGAGATATTGCACTCTCCGCTTGTATGATGGTTTTATATTGTCATAAATATGAAACAAAAACTGACACATGGCATTTACACCACAATACCCTGAATTTAAGAGCCTATAAATGCATGCTATAAGCTCCTTTACACAGCGAGTTGTTGGCCTGCATCATGTTCATCACAAATGAACTGTTTGAATTGTTATGCAGGTCTGTGGCGGGTGTGTTAAAACGAATATATAAAAATATACAGAATGCATCAGTGCCATTTATTGGCCTATGATGTTCTGAAGCGGTTTTATGATATTTGATATGTGGCTTCTTACAGCTTTGCTCCTCACCGACGGGTTCAGGAAAGGGCTTGAATGAATGAAATGTCAAACCGTAGCCTCTCTCCCCCGTCTGAGTATTTTCTCCTCAGACAGATAATGCTTGCTATTTGATATTTTCTCGAGAATAGCAGGTTTGTCCAAAGCACAGCGATGAATCTCTGCAGAATTGAATCTTTGTTACTTCATGTTACTAGAATGGTCTATCTTCTCAAGTCCAACTGATCTTATCTGGCTAGGCTGGCTACTTTAAATAAAAGCAATTATTACTGCTGAAGGACATCCATACTTGTAAGTCCACATCATAAACCGTAGAAAATGATGAAGATAAGAACTGAAGATGGACAGGCCTATCATGCATTTCACACAGTGATGTCCTCGGGGGGGATGATGATTACGTGATGTACAATCTGTATCAGCAGTAAATGTGACACTGATCTCACTGCTGCACTTCAAATCATAAGGTTTCATTCCATTAGAGAGCCCTTGGCAATCACCAGAATCTTCTATGACACAGCTCTGATGATGTACATTTCGGCTAGGAAAACGATAACAGACTGCCCTCCAGTGGCTCAATTTGCCATGACTGTTACCTAGAATGTCCTATTATATGATTTTTAGGACTTTTATAAACAAAGGATAGACGTTTCATGGTCATCACGCCTGGTCAAACTACAATTACAAGTCATAACTTTCTTATTTATAAACAAATTTTCCCTTGACTTTTTTTTCATTTGGAATAAGCGCAATATATTCTATAAAAATACATCCTTATTTCTTTAGAGTTGCTATGATAATAAAATTACTTTACTTCATGATCTCTTGGTCTTTTGCTATCGTATTAAGAGTTCTTGCAGAAGTAAAATTTTCCTGTCCCATCAAAAGAATTCGTTATTGTCTTTGATGCTGTTCCTGCAGGAATTATTACACTGTTTAAAGGCTTGAACAGAACTGCATCACACCACCTCTTCGTGATCTGTTTGAAACAACAGTGGGTAAAAGCTAGTCTTGTTCTAAAGTCAACTAACAAATCAATCAATGCATTGTTTCAGAAAAAAGTTGTCTCAAAATCATATGTTATGACTTACTGGAGCAATTTTACAAACATTTTAAACTGGAGAAAAGTTTGGCTTTTGCCACACAAATACCTTAGTGTGAACGAAATCAGAGAAGTTTGCTTTAATCCACAGATTCTACCTAGTGAGTAGCTATTCAAAAAGATTTAAATCGGATATTGATACAATGTGCACTTTCTGTAATTTACAAAGTGAAACAACTGTACACTTATTTTGGTACTGTACCTACAAAAATATTTTGGGGAAAATTTGTGATTGAGTTTATATATTTCAATTTTTCTTTGTTTTGGGAAAATGTGTTATTTGGTTTTACTGATACAGACAATAATACGGAGAAAGCGTTCTCCTTCATCAATCTTTTACTTACTAAATATCACATCCATAAATGCAAATTCTCCAATAATAAACTGCTTTATTGGGGTATTCTTAAAAGAATTAAAACAATATTTTGATACACTTTCCGTTTCAGGAAACACTAAGGCTAAGAAAACATAATCTTGTCACGCCCTATTTAAAATTCCCCTGTAACATCAGTACTTCATTCTATATTACTTACACTCTTAATATTTTATTTTAAGCTTTACTTTATACGTATTTCTTGTTTAACTTATTATAAAGTCATAACTTTTATGTGCTAATCATTGTATGTGCATTAATTATAAAACACACCAAATACATTGGAAAAAAGACATCTAGATGCAACTTAAATGTTTAATAATATTTTGGTTTAATTGTATTATATAACTAGAACTGCCTCCCTTTTGAACTCTGCCCCCCACTGACTATTTTGCTGCCTCATATACCCCAACACTCCTCTCATAACTTATACTCCCCATAAACACTGCACTATTTAATATTTGCACATTTTCATTGCACTTTGTTGCAATAATTCATCTTGAATTGTACATATCATTTTAGTGGCTTTTCAACATGCAACATTAACTATTTTAGTATCGTTAATGACAAAAATACCATTTACAAACTACAGAGGCACTGCCAGTATTTTGGTGTAACAGTATTGCGGTGCTGCCGAAGTACTGATAAACCATGCAACCCCACTGGGCGGCCCTCTCAAGTAAAGTCTCTGTGTGGGAAGCACTGATTTTCAGAATTTAATTCCATAATTCTGAATTAAATGGCAATTAAAAAAAACACATTACCTTTATTTGTTAGACATTTTAGCATAAGCATGACCACAGCATGAATTCAATTAATTTCCATGTGTCCTCTATTGATTATAATGCTGTAATTATAAAAAATAAATAAAATAAAATTCAGCCAATGGCACTGAAAATTACTTTATTTGGGTTGTTAACATTTAAGCATATAGAATTTGGTCACTCTTTATTTTAAATATGCATTCCATGCTATTAACAAACCATTAACTAAGCATTTTACCTTAATAAATGACTAATTAGCTGCTTATTAATAGTTACTATTTAGTAAGGTAGTAGTTAGATTTTGGTATTGGGTAGAATTAGGAACGTAAAATAAGACAACAGTCAACGTCTTAATAATAGGCAGGTAATAAGCCAGAAGTATATGAGATGAATAGTTACTTGAACTAAAGAGCTACCTGGAATATTTTTACTGATACACACTTAATAACCGGCAGGTAATAAGCCAGTAGTAAATGTTGTGTATACTTAAACTAAAGTGTTACCTTGAATATTTTTACTGATATCGACATACTAATCCCAAGTCCCTGTTTGCACTCACCTGTCATATGGATCCCACCGAGCCCTGTACTGTGATGATGTTGCTGCTGTGGAGCCAAGTTCAAGTCCAAAAAGCTGCTGTGCTGTGCAGCAGAAGAAGGGCCTGTGCTGTGATTCAAGTGCGGGAGGTTATTGCGCATGGGCATCCCCATCCAGCTGTGCCGAGAGCTCTGCGCTTGCCCGGGAAAGCTGAACGAGTTGTAGACTGTGCGGTGCGGGAGATGGGAGAAGCCCCGTGAGGGCAGACTGGAGTTTGGGGCAAAGTGTGAGGAAGTTGGGGGCTGAAGTGGGCTTTTTATGGATGGAGCGTTGTGGAGAGGGCCGAGTAATGGCCCATGGGGCATTACTGGCGCCGACTTTGTGATGGTCATGGGAAAGGAGTCTTCCACAGTGAGTTCGTTCTCAATGAGATCTGCCAGTGCCTTACGGGTGACGTCAAATGGGTCAAAGCCGAGGTCGTCATCCTGTTGCTTCGTTGAAGAGCCGAAGCCAAAGGCTGCTTGCCAGTCTGTAGAGGACGACACTGGTATGGTATCTGCCAGAACGAAGACAAATAATCATACATGTCATTTTGCAAGTCCAAATCACTCTGTACAACTATGATCCTGGAGTAGCTCCTACACACAACTCTAGAAGTTCCTATTTGGCCTGAAGACCTTGATTAGCTGTTTCAGCTGTGTTTGATTAGGGCTGCAGTGGAACTTTCTAGATTTAACAGCCCTAGTTTAGTGGTCCTTAATTAAGATTTGACTTTTTTAGCTAGCAGTATAAATAAATATTTGACATAAGCTAAGATATGATAATTAAAATTGGTTGCAAAGATAGACATTTCCTTTACAGAATCTGATTTAAAAAGGGATCGTCGCCCAATAAATAAAATTATCATCATTTACCGAACCCCCACTTGTACTTAACATATTTGACAGAAAATATACCTATCAGAAATATTAGTTCTGAGTAAGGAGATTCACACAATCATGTATCACAAAGACCATTTTTAAAGGAACAGAAATGACAAGGTAGACTAAAAAGTCAAAAATGAGTATAATAATCAGATTTTTCCACAAAAAAACACACCCCACAAACACATTACAGGGCGCATCACCCCATAACACAATCAAGTCTTTGAAAATAGCTTAATGACATCAATTTACTGAAAAGTAGCTTCAAGTCTTCTAACTCTAGCTGCTCATATTTAGCCTGAGGACCTTGATTAGCTGGTTCAGGTGTGTTTGATTAGGGTTAAAGTGTAACCCTCTAGGTTTGAAAGCCCTAGTTTAGTGGCCCTTAATCAAGATTAGATTTGTTTAGCTTTAGTTAGAGTGTAATGCTGCATTAATTAACAGCATAAATAAATATTTGACCAAAAACATCACAAGCTAAGATATGATCATTAAAATTGGATGCAAAGGGAGACATTTACTTTACAGAATCTGATTTAAAAAGGGATCGTTCACTCAATAAATGAAAATCATCACCATTTACAGACCCTCCACTTGTTCTAAACATGTTTGACAGAAAATATAATTTGAAAAAAGCTGGAAAACAGCAGCCATTGACGTCCATAGTGTATGCTTTTTAGAATTATTTTTCCCTACTATGGATGTCAATGGCTACCATTGTTCAAAATCTTCTTTTGTATAATTTCTTTATGATTTATTTATTGCAACATCATATTTCATGGCAACAATGGACATACAAAAAAAAAAATTACATCATAAAAACAAATTCGTATTACAATAAAAAGTTACTTATATAAAATAGAAATAAATAAAATTCACACAAAAACATATCAAAGTTAAATATGATTTTTCAGGTAAATTTTTAACAAATAATTTTGGATTTTTCCTGGAAATACATTTTTAAAAATGTCCACCAAAGTACCCTCCTTATAAAAATGTTGTCTAATGGTATTCAAACTTCCGCATTCCAATAAAATATGTTTGATGGTAAGAGCAGTCTGGCCTTAATAACAAGTAGGTGGTTCTTCTTTTTTGTTCACTGGTAAAAAACAATACATAAAAAAGAGATGGCACATGACACTACATTTTATTTTTAGATTAAATACCTCTTTAAGGCCTGAAACGAATGGCTGGAATGTATTACAAATCACTTCTTCCAAACACGTTTTCCAAATGTACATAAACCCTGACCCTGTGTCAAGACTTTATTCAAGATGGACTAGACCAGGGGTGTCCAAACTGAGTCCTGGAGAGCCGGTGTCCTACATATTTTCTGCAATAAACCTGCCTAAAAGTTTCAGGTATAGCTAGAAAGAGCTTGATTAGCTGGTTCAGGTGTGTCTACTTGGGGTTGTTACTAAACTTTGCAGGATACTAACCCTCAAAGATTTTGGGCACCACTAGACTAGACGGTTGGCTATTACACTTAACCAGATGACCTATCAGAAACCATTTCATAATTCTGAGAGAGAAGCTTTACACAACCAGGTATTAAAACAACCATTTTTAAAAGAACAGAAATGACTTTGTAAACTAAGGCCCCGTTTACACTAGTGCGTATTAGTTTTAAAACGGCGTTTTAGAATGAAAACGATCCGCGTCCACACTCGCGTTTTACCCAGCGTTTCTGAACTGCTCTCCGTCCACACCAAAACGCTGAAAACGCACATCACGTGACCACACACACACACTTTGGCAATCGCTGGAGCCCATCTACCCAGATGAGAGCTCTGCTAGTCGGACTTCTCATCAAGCATCTCCCGCTGGATCTAATCTCACTATATTTATTAAACGTGATATTTCATTCATCTTGTTGTCTTTATCTAACGACATATTCCCTGACTTTGGTCACTGGAATCTATTACTTGTTCTCAGGTAACGTGTTTTGGCTGAGCGCAAAGATAAGTTAATGATTAATGTAAGCACGTAGCCTACATTCTGTATATTGACTGATCGCTTGCCTTTATTTCCTATAATGTATAAACTTATTGTATGTTATACTTTTATAATGGCCATTATCGATTATTAAAACTGATATTCAGCAAAAGAGAGGGTGTGTTTCGTATTTTCACTGAAATTGAAAGGAGGCAGTTGTTATCGGCTCCGTTTTGTTATAAATATGCACACAGTGAAGATGACTCTCATGCAGCACGACGCCTCAACATTTCTGCTGTCTGTTTAGTTGTTAATATTAAAATAAAAATAGGCAGTTCCTTATATCAAGTTTACATTTTATTGTTGAGAAAGTGAAACAACGTAGCCAAGGTGATGTGAATGAAGTTATAAAGTACACTGTTCCCTGTGAAGATTGACGCGTGTCCTCGGTATGTTTTCCATATCAAACTGAGAAGAAGAGATGCAGCCTTGATCAAACTTGCGAAGTCTGAACTTACACGGAGAAGATTCAGGACTGAACTGTGTGTTAGGCTACTTAATAGGCTACTTAATATTGAGGAAAAGCCCCAATCAGAGAGGCGAATGTCTGCAGCCCCGCCTCCGTTTTCAGATGTCTCCGTCTTTCCCCATCCACACTGAGACGGAGCTGCAGCGTTTTAGAATGAAAACGGCCTCTCCAGCGTTTTCGAAACGCTCCGTTTTCGGCGCTCGAGAACTCCGGCGTAGTGTGGACGGATGGCGTAACCGTAGCAAAACTTATGCGTTTTCAAACTAAAACGCATTAGTGTAAACGGGGCCTAAAAGGTCAAATTTGAGAAAAAAAAAACCTAGATGAAAACATTACAGGGTGCACCACCCCATAACACAATCAAGCCTCTGAAAATAGCTTACTGACATCAGTATAAAAAGCTATGTGTACCTGATGTGAAGAGGCTCTGTGGTTCTGGGGCAGTGGGCCAATCGGAGTTGTTGTGAAGGGAATTAGGAAAGCCAGGCAGACCGCTGGGGATGGGATTGGGGTGCCGGAAGTTGCTGTTGTCTGAAAACAATGATTGTGACTCAGCCGCTGCTCCTTCGAAAGGCGACCGTACTGTCAACCCTGCCACACAGTTAGGCACCACTAGAGATGGCTTACTCAGGCCAGGAGGGGGTGATGGAGAGTCATTGCCGGAAATCTGAAGGGTTTAATTTAGTGGAGGAGGAAATAAATAAATATACTGCATATACCAAAATTGAACAAAATTTAAATGCTCCAATCAATTTAAATAACTTGAAGTAGCTAGCCATTCATAAAAAAAGAATTAATTAATTAATTCATTAAATATTGACAACGACCATCAGAGTAGTAATAAACTTACTTGTGATGTTTCTCCATTACTTAAACTGATGGAATCTGAAGGTTTGCTAGTTGGGCTGCAGGAAAACAACGAAAACATGATAATCAGTAACATCTATAAAGTTACTCGATTACAAAAGTCAGTAAAGAAACATGTTCAAAGCTGAATTTTCAAGCAGAAAAAGTGTACATTTACTAATCAATTTAATGAAAACAACTTCATACAATCACACTGTTGCCATTAAGTCTTTGAACAAATAAAGCTCGATGAAATGTTTTAAATGATCTGCCAAAGAGGAAATATGACAGAATGAGGCAGGCATCAGAAGTTTACAGGCTGCTTACCTGACGGGTTCACAGTTCGACGTGAAGGAGGGCAGACCAGTGATAGAACCAAGGCCCAGGTCAGAGTCTAGGCCGTCTGGAGTCATGTTTTCAGAGTCCGAGCCTCCATCTAAGGGTGGAGTCTTATGGTGTTCTGAAAGCCCATTGGGCATCTTCCCTGTGGTTTGTAACGAAGGCCACGCTTCTTTGCTGTTACTGTTGGAACTGGAGGGCATGATACAAATGTACGGTAATTAATAATAATATTAGACTCAATTTTTTTATATACGAAATATTATGACCAGACTTTGACATTGTTGTATTTTATTTAAAACTTGAATTTGAATATTTAATGCTTGAGCACTTTTTACTTAGACTGTCTATAGTTTAGTAAAATAAAATCATTAATAAATATGAAAAGCTTCCATAGATCAATTTGTATTTTCTAAAAAAAGCAAACCAAAAAACAAACCAAAACAAAAATAAATGTAGAAAACAAACACAAAAAGAAGATGTTTTGAAGCAAATTCTTTTGACACAAACCTCTGTGATGTGCCTGATTTGCTCTTTGTCTTCTCTCCTGTTCCTGTCGAGCTCTGTAGGAAGTTGGGATTTGTTTTGTAGAGTTCCTGTAAGAGTTTCTGTTCATATTCCTGATGTTTCCCTGCCTGCAAAGTCAAACACTAAGAGTTAAAGTGCGAGTCAGGAAAGATGAAGTAAAAAAATGTAAAAATAAATACAACATTACCTGCATTTCTTCTTTTGTAAAACTAGCAGCTTCGTCTCCCAGCTCGTGAAGATACATACAGTCTGGTTTAGGGCACTGCATGCTTTTTAGAAAATAACTGCAGTATTTAGTTGTACCTAAAGAAGCCTGCATGGCAAAATAAGGCATATGATATACAAAGCTGAAAACAACTGGTTGTTGAAAATATTTTGGTTTATTGTCAACACAAAGTTTACCTTAAGTGTTCTGCCATCTACTACAACATTGTTAACACACTGTATAGCTCTAAGGGCATCTTCTGAGCGAATGTAAGTGACGTAGGCACTGGCACTAGGACCCTGTGTGGGGAAAAAAGATCAACAATTGCATAGATGAAAATTCAATATTTAAACCATGAAGATACAACTCAAGTAGTGAAACAAATCTATGATTGCTTTTGCCAAGAAATCAGCACAACTATGGGGAAAAACATCCTGAATTGCAAGAAAAATATCAAAACGGGAAGGAAAACAAACTTTGAATTGCACCAAAAATAAAAATCAATAATAATAAAAAACAGCACTGCAGGATAATGAGGGGAATAATGAAAGAAATGCAAAGGGAAAAATTGGGTAACCTAACAGAAAAAAACAACAGAATTTAAAGAAAAACTTTTCTGACAATTTCTCAATCCAATATTTGCAAATCTATATATTCATTGCTATAACTACATTACTTGCAGATGAAAATTAATATCTTAAAATGTGTATTCTAATAAAATACTCTGAACTTAGAAAAGAAAATGTACGGGAAAAAAAATTACATTTTAATTTCAAAACAGGAAAAAAGGTTACATACAAACACTGCTCAGCAGAATTGAGTACACCCCATTTTGAAAATGAATATTTGTTTCCATTTCTCAGTGAACATAGGCAATTTTATTTTGATGCATTTAAACAAAACAGATTTATTAAACAGATATATTTATTAAAATCATATTTTAGTCATCAAACATATTTAGAAATCGAAAGATAATACAATTAAATTCAAGCAAAATGTTGCAAAAATAAATTACAACCTATAAAAATTCAACTAAATGTTTAAATTTTTTTGCTTCTTGATTTTTCCTTTTTTTTATTTGCGTTAAATTTTTTTATATCATATAAATTTGAGTGTAATAGTTTTTGGACCGTTATTGTAGGTTATTTTGCTAGATTAGCTCCAGATTTGGCTTCAGTACTGACTAATCTAATGTTTATGCACACATATATAATATTGTACAGCTTCCAATTAAAAATATGAATTTAAAAGATAGATTTGTGAGGAGTGTACTTACATTTTAAGCTGAGCACTGAGACCTTATAAAAACACTTGTTTGTTCATAACACTAGAGCACAAACACGTCTGACCAATGAGAAACTGCAGCTCACCTGTGAACCAGCATAAGAAGTGCTGTTATTGATGACCACCTTATGGATCTTCCCAAACTTCCCAAAGTACTCCGGCCTTTTTAAGACCTGCAATCACAAGCCAATTACACATTTAAAAAGAGCTGATTGCGGTTTGGAGATCATCAACGGCACATGCAAATGCAGGAGAAAGCGCAGCACATAATCAGAACTCATCGGAAGCGCATAACTCAATCATTATTTATTATGAAAGAAATCAAAATGTGGAGCTAAATATAAACCCAATCAGCACTGCGGCATGTATCATTCCCAGTAACCACATTCACGTCAACAAAGTTCATTTCTACTTATAAATAGATTGCATGAAGGAAAGCATTATGATACGATAAACAGGATTTTAGATGAATGACATTCACCAGGATATCCACAACGTTCAGCCAAATCGACACTGGAAACAGAAGTGTGCCACACAAGTAGGCCTCCGTCAGGCATTTCACTGGCGAAGGGCTTCATCTTAACAACATGACGTTTTTAATATTCTGCTCACTCTTGAACTGTGAAAGCAGCCCGGATGTTTCTTTGCAGTTTTTGTTTGAGGGCTTTTTTTTTTTTTTTTTTTTTTTTTTCGCACCCTCAGTGTGAGATAAACGACAGCACAGAGACTCGAATGTGAAGGGACGATCAGTACAGCAAGAAAACAAACCCCCTGAAAACATGTTTGAGCATTTTGTGCATCTAATCTCACTCGTCTGTCTTGGAATTAAAAGGCATGTTCTCACTCTCTGGGTTTTTCACACTGAATAACTTGTTCTCTGCTGAGAGCTATTCAGGGTGGATGACGTCAGCTGTGATGGCGAATAGAGGGAGAGAAAGAGCGTCAGAGAGAAGGGAGCAAAAAAAAAAAAAAAGAGAGCGAAAGCTGTTTTCGTGGGCTGGTAATGCAGGCTAAGTGCAGCTGGTGGGCAGGTAGCTTTCTCTCATTCCCCAGGAAACCATTTAGCCTCATTTTTCATTTTCATTTGATGAAATGTCGCATAAAATCAAATCTGCACAGCTTCAAGGAGTTTTTCCTCAGAAGGGTGGAAGTAATACTGTAGCATACACACCAGACAGAAGGTCATAATAATGGGGGAACGGCAGATTTGGGGAATGTGCTTTACTGTGTTAAAGCCACTTTGGTTGCACCAGTGGGTGTGAATTTATTTGTTTTTATATGTTTTCTGTAATATATAGGACCAATACAAGTTGTAAACTAGGGGTTGCATAGACTAGGCCAGGATTTCTCAACCACGTTCCTGAAGGACCACCAGCACTGCATGTTTTGGATGTCTCTTTTGTCTGTCGCACACATTACAGCTCTTTCAGTCTCTGCTGATGATCCGAATTAGGTGTGTTTGGTTAAGGAGACATGGAAAATGTGCAGAAATATGGTTGTGAAACACTGGACTATTTGACTTATGTGTCTGCTGTGATGCTTCTTGACTGCCGTTAACTTGTTGCGCTGCACGGTTAACCTAAACTACATGCCAGTTTTACACACAATGGTGGTGCACTGAACGAAACTGCCATCGGATTATTTAAAGAAACTTTTAAAATTGTATTTTTCTCATGTCAGCATTAAAGATTCACATGAACGTTGAGCGAACTTTAAATAGTCAAGCAGATGCCCGTCAGGTCGCTCCATGCAAATACCCTAGAGCAGATGCTAGCCAATCACGTTTACGCAACCCTAGAAGAGTAATGTGATTGGCTGTTGTCCTCTGCGAAGCGTAGATGCTGACATATTATGCAAATGAACCGTGAAGCACACAAAAATTGTAAAGTTTACAGCCACTGGATGTGGCAAACTTCATAGCAAGTGTGAATATCATCACCGGTGAACGTGGTAAAAATGTGCATTGAGAAGACATCCCATAATCAAGATGAGCCAGTAACCACAAAAAACGCTCAACTTGAGCAGAATTTTGACTCGCTTTCTAGTGCGCACTATTATAGCAGTAAAATATCCATCTGAGCAAGTCTTTGACAGTTTAAGAAGGCTTAATGTTACAGCCTTTGTCTTTCTTTGGTTATGTTGTTATAAAATAACTTCACATGAATTTTTGTGCTGACAACATATGCAAAACAGCTCCACTAAAATATCTGTTATTCTTACATTCTTATAGAATGTGCAGTAATCAATGTGTTGACTGCATTTATTTAGTAGTAAAAATTAGCCTAATTGCTAATGTTGCATTATTAACAAAATGAAAGTGTTGACAGTGCATTTGTTTTGCACTAAAATTAGTCATTAGTAGTGTTGATACTGTCAAACAGCATGTGTATTAACTTCCTGCAAATTAATGGCAAATTGTGGCATGTTGCAAAACATGTGCATCTTGTGTTTTATTGATGACATTACTACAGACTAGTCGATGTCAACTTGGCCTAGATAACATAAAAGTCGTTTTACAAAAAATCAAAAAGTCTTTTAACCACTATTGTAAACAGGACTTTATTTTAGCAACTGATTTCATTCATCAATTGAGTGTCAAAAACTGACTTGTCTTTGAGAAAGAATGAAACCCAGTGCATGCAGACTCTACCACATTTGAACCCACTTTTGCTACTTTTGCTTTTACTAATTTTAAGCAATGTATGGATTTGTTTATTCTACACTTATCAAGTAAAAAAAACTTTGTCTATTTATTTATAAATGTATATTTTAATGTGTCATACATTACATAAAACAGCTAAAATATATATATATTTGTGTTTTTTTATTTTTTTATGAAATCTGATATATATTTACATACTTGACTTGGACAGATGGAACTATAGGGTGTAAATGTTTAGGGAGTAAATATTTAACAATAATAAACTAAAACTATTATCTTAAAAATAAAATATCTATATAATATACATCTAACATAATATATTATAATATCATATAATAATATATAATATAAAAATATATAATAATATACAAAACAACATAATAATATATAATAACAGGTCATATAATTCAATATAATATATAATATAAAATATAATATAATAATAATACAATACAATAAAGTATAATATAATATAAAATATAATATAATATATTATAATACAATAATATATAATACAACATTATAAAACATAATATAATATAATATAATATAATAATATATAATACAACATAATAAAACATAATATAATATAATATAATAATATATAATACAACATAATAAAACATAATATAATATAATATAATAATATATAATACAACATAATAAAACATAATATAATATAATATAATAATATATAATACAACATAATAAAACATAATATAATATAATATAATATAAACATAAAAAAATTATGAAATCAAAAAATGTGTAAAAGCTTAAAATCGGATTAAATAATTGAAAAAAAAAATATTCAAATTAAAAAAATATACAAATTATCTTTCTTATTATAATAAACCTGTGTCAGGTCTTTTTACACAGCAGGATCTGAACTCAGAAACCCTTAAAATATGCTCTTTCCATCTTGTTCCAGCTTCTAGGACAAACGCTTGATTTTCTACTCTCCTTGACCTTCATTTTCCCTCCATTAACAAACAGCGAAGACCTACATAAGACATACAAGGACAAAACATTCAACAGAATAAATGTGTACCTTTATATCTTGCTTGCAGTGAAAGTGTTATAAAGCATCAGAAACCATGTGTGGATGAATTTCGAGAGCGGCTGAGTGAGATGAATGTCACAGTTTTTGGAGCAGTGGACTTCCTAAGTCGTTTATCTTGAGTGTGAAGAGCATCAATTACACAGAGGTCAGGAAAGATTGTGTGTTTTGCTGAATCACCTCAGGGTCGGCGAGTCTCTGTGAAAGGCCCACAACAAACACCAGGTTTCGCTGGACGACTCGCACGCTGGAGAGGTGTTTGCGGTTCTCTGTGATCTTCTGTTTCCGCTCGTTCTGCTTCTGCTTCTTCTCGTTCTTTATCCTCTGAAGTTCCTCCTGAGAGAGAGGTTTGTATACTGCAGGGTCTTCTGGATAGGGCTGAACCACACAAGAGATGCTTGATGTTAGAAGAGGTTCACTCAATACATAAATACATTCTTTTTTTTTTCATTAGTCTAAAGATATATCAGCAGCACAGGCTATAATTTTATTTTATAATATATAATATTATATATATATATATATATATATATATATATAAAATATGAAATTAAAAAAGAGAGATCGTAATGAAAGAAATCATATAAAAGTCAATTAAATTAAACCGAATATAAACAGTTCTTTAATTTTCTTACGGAGCATTTTGAGGCATGTAAATAATTACAATGGTCCTAACTTATTTACATTTTTATTTTTCGCAGCTTCTGAGAATTCAAAAAGTTCCACATATTGATAAATAATGTTATGATAGCTGTTTGGTTAAATTGACATAATTCTGAAATTATGATTGAATTATAAAACATTTGGCAACAAGCAGGAAAATGTTCATGGGCCAATGACACCAATTGAATTGGGCCAATTGAAATGGTTTATAAAAACAAATGCAATTTTTTCCATAATATCGCTGTGCAATAAATCTTATATATTAAATATTAAAATATGCAAATATGGTTTATTTATTTTTTTTATTACGTTTTCGTGCTTGTATACACATGTTCTGGGAATGTCCGAGATTTTCTATCGGAACTAATGGAAACTCAGATCCAATGCGGCCCAATGCTTTTTCTCATGCTGGACGATTCATCACTCTCTTTATCCATCAACCAAAGAAAGATTCTGTCAGTTCTGACTGCTGCTGCTGCTGCAAAAAAAAAACAATCCTGAAACTATGGCTGGATCCATCTGCTCCAACTGATTTATCCTGGAGGCTCTATCTACTGAACATTATTAGTTTGGAATACACCACAGCCAAAATAAATGGTGCCAGTAAAAAAAAAAAAAACTGTACAATTTTGGTTAAATATGAGAGAGACTGTATCATTCATGTTTCAATCCTGATTTTGTACTTATTATTACAATATTACTGTTTTTATTTTATTTCACACTTTTTATTGGGTGGATATGGGGCTTTGTTCAAAATCAAAATGTTTAATAAAATAATAATAATAATAAATAAATAAATAAACTACATTTTCAAATGCATTCTCTCGAATATCCCATTGAAGTTCCCCCAAAGACTTTGCTTTTTGTAAAAAAAAATGTTTTTTTATTAATTAAGATTTATTAATAATTATTATTAATTTTTTTAACTGTTGCTAATCTCATTTTATCTTATTTTCGTCTGCTTTTTCGGGGGCCGGGCCCCAGGGGCAGCAGTCTTAGAAGAGAACCCCAGACTTCAATCCTCAGACACTTCCTCCAGGGGATCCTGAGGCATTCCCAGGCCAGTCGAGAGACAGTCCCTCCAGCGTATCTTGGGTCTTCGCAGAGGCCTCCTACCGGTGAGACATGCCTGGAACAATGACCTACCTCAGCTGACTTCTCTCAATGTGGAGGAGCAGCGGTTCTACTCAGAGCTCCTCATCCTATCTATAAGGGTTCGCCCTGTCACCCTGCGGAGGAAACTCGTTTCGGCTGCTTGAATTCGAGACTTGTCTTTTCGGTCATGACCATCAGTGAGAGTAGGAATGTAGATTGTCCAGTTATTTGAGAGCTTTGCCTCAACCGCATTACAGCTTTGTTGCTAATCTTAAATTCATAATCTATGCAAAATAATCTCCACCTGGCCAAACTCTTCTTTTATAAAATAAAAATAATTTAATTACATTTTGAATGTCACCATGATTTTACCATCGCATTCGAAGTAGCTTTTAAAGAATTTATCCCATGACACCAAAAAACCCTAACCAAATAAATAAAATCCACAAAATTAATTCGTAACAGTTAATTAATTATAAAGGCTTCTCAACACCACATTTCTGCATGGATCAAAACTGCTGCAACTAAAAGTTATGCCAACTGTGTGCTAGTTTAAAGTTCCGAGCTTGTACACCGAGGCTAATACTCACGCACACTGGATTAAAGGCTGATTTTAACTATGGTTGAGGCTGGCGCTATTCACAAAGTGGCATTCACATATCAGAGAAATGGACTATTGTTTGTTTTATTATTATTTTGTGCTGTATTAATTGATTACTGAGCAGCAATTAATAACACCTTAAAATATACAGCGCTTTCATGTGATTTTCTAAACTAGTAGTGTTTTGAAATGAATGAATGGATAATTATCGTGATTATTCCTCAGACTATAATCGTACAATCAAATCCTATAATCGTTACATCCCTCTCCCAAAAAAAATTTAGGAGTGAGGCTACACACATTTTAGAGAAACCTATAATATAAATATAAAATGTACACTCATTTTAAAAATACACAAATATGCTTGCTTTTGGACTCTTAAGGTGTGCTGTTATTTTCAAGGATGACTATTCATTTTATATCCCTAATTCCCTGTTTACCTTTCTGCAGGCCGGACAGAGGCCGTTCTCGTCTGTGCGTATGCGATGCCAGCAGAAGCGGCAGATCTGATAGCCGCAGGTGCAGGGGAAGAAGTTGACGTCATCAATCTCCAACGGTTCCATGCACAGTGGGCACTCCATGGGGTCCTCCTTCACCTCAGGGCTGCAGGACATCCTATGGCACGCGACGCAGAGAAAAGAGCGGTGTGTTCTCACAGTTTAGAGGCAGAGCTGTTGAGGAAAAAAAAAACTGTTAAAGAAATTTAAAAAAAAATATTTACCAAAATATTATTACTAATGTGTAATAATAATAAAACAACGACAGGTATAAAAATAATAATAATATTAAATAATAATACTTTTACTAATATTATTATAATATTAACAAAAACAAATTACTAATTATTATTAATAATATTACTAATTATAATTAACATCAATATTAATAATTTAAATAAATAATAATATTTTACTATAATAATATCAATAATAGTTATTATTAGTAGTATTATAATTAGTAATTGTTGTTAATATAAAAATAATAATAACATTTTAATTATTAAAATTATTATTATTTTTTTTATTATTATTAATATTAGAAATTATAATTTGTTGTTGCTAATATAATAACAATTAATAATATAAAAAATAATATTTTACTATTATTAATAGTAGTAGATCAATTATTATTATTATTATTATTATTATTATATTAACAACAATAAATTACTAATAATTATTATTAATAATATTACAAATTATAATATTAATATTAAAATTAATAATTAAAATAAATAATAATAATTAACTATAGTAATAACTATAGTAATTAATATAGTAATACTTTTTATATTATTATTATTATATTATTTATAATTAGTAATTTATTGTTGTTAATAATTAATATAATAATAAATAATATAAAAATAATAATATTTTACTATTGTTATTATAATTTTTTTATTATAACAACAAATGACTAATTATAATTATGAATATTATTAATAATAATATTAACAATAATGTTCATGATTATTAATATTAACTATTATTATTATTATTATTATTATTATTAATTATTATTATTATATTAACAATTACTCATTATTATATTTTTTTATTAATAATAATAACACAAATCATCATCATTATTATTATTTTCATGTCAAACTGTAAACAAACAGACGCTTCAAAGTGAATAAATGCAGCAAAATTCTACAATAATATATATTTTTTCCAACAGTCCACATGTTTTAAAAGCGAGACAGAATTAGGCTCATATCCTTCAAATAGTCTCAAAGCACATTAGAGCTTGCATCAGAGTCAATAATGAGAATGCGACTAGCAAGAGTGTATTTGTGTTTGTGTGGGAGGAGTTTCAAACTCCAGTCAAGAGAGGAATTGAAGGCATAATTGGAATCGACAAGCACACACACCCACACAAGCAATCACCAGAGTTTCAATAACAAGTATACATATCCTCTAGGGTTCATCCAGTGAACTGGTCCTCTTAAGTGAGTAGGTGCAAATTCAACAATTACTGAAAAATGAGGTACTGGATCCTGGTATTTAACATTGAACCGTGGGCTCCTGACAAGGCCCCAAATGTAAGCTGCGTTGGTTAAAAAGCAATTTGATGTCTCTGCGTGAGATCATGAGTAATGCAAGCTAATTTACCTTTTCTTTAAGTAAACACATTCTACATTAGAGGCTTTGTTTCTGTGGTAATGTTTGAATCACAACTGCATAAACAACATAGACAATAACAAATACAGTGGTTTGTCAGGGACAGTTCCTTTTTTTGGTGGCACTTCCCCAACGTGGATCATTTATCAAACAAAGGTTTGAATAAGCATTTAACTGGCCAAAAATCTGTGTGGTGCAGGATAAGTAGTCAAAGAGATTAGAAATGAGTTATTAAAACTATTATGTTTTACTCCTAAAATTATAGTTGATATTTCTACAAATGCTTTTGTGCATTATTTAATATTTATTCTTTATTTTTATTTTAGTAATTTTGTTCTTCACTTTAAGAAATTTGCCTATAAATAAACATTATTGTTATTATTATTATTATTACTGATATAATTATTGTTATTACTGGTATTATTATTATCATAATTATTATTACTGATGATATTATTTTTATTAGTGTTATTATATTATTTTTATTATTATTATTGGTATTATTATTATTATTATCATTAATATTAGTGATTTTATTATCATCATTATTATTATTACTGATATTATTATTATTATTATTATTATTATGTGAGGAACAACTATGGTCTAATTTTCACAGACTTACAGCATCTTAACAACCCATCAAAATAAAAGCAGATTTAAACAGCAATTGTAACAGAAATATTTATATTTACACATATTAAATATTAACACTTAAACTATTTATTTTAGGAATTACACAACTGTTATTTCGTGTTTTTTAACTCTTAAATGTCAAATTGATCAAGTTTCAAAACTCAGTTTAATCAAGATTTTTTTAAGGTTCTAAATCGCACAAACTATTAAACTGGAGTCTAAAAATTAAATACAGAAGAGGAAAAAATGTATTTAAAAAAATGGAAATTAAACAATTTTGATTATTTAAAAAAGTTCTATTATTTTTCAAATTAGATATACGTCATTACTTTCTTCTTCATTTTTAAAATCCAGCTATATTTATTAATCTTATTGCTATTAATGCAAATTACAAATACATATAGAATTAAGATTACCAAAGAATACTGAAGAAAATCTTTTGCATGTAGGCTCACACGGAATCTGTCCGCGCAGAAATCAGCCGATTTCTACAGATTTTTAGCCCAGAGTCTATTTATTTATTTACTTGTGTAAGTGTGTGTACATTTATATTTATTCAGTTTCTAAATTAATTTCAGTATAATTATTGATCAATATGAAAATGTTCATTTGATTTATTTGCAATACAGCTTGTAAAGTAATATTTTCTGTCTTTTAATAGTTAAACTAAATAAGTGACTTGCTTTGTTTACTAAATAAGTGGGTCTAATTGGATTTGCATGGTAAACATTAAATAAAAGTAATTAAAAAAAAAAAAGTATATATTAAAGTTTTTAGTTATAATATTCCCAAATTCATTCCGCATAAATCTGCAGATTTTTTTCAAATACTGTACATAAATAGCAAAAAAATGTTTGCAGATTCTGTCTGGCCCTACTTCTGACTAACAAACACAAGAGCAAACTAAACTCCACTTCTGATTGCACAGGGTCCTAACAATCACTCTTGTCAGTAGCGGAAGCACCTGGAGCATGAAGAGGGGACAGTGGGTGGATATGAGGGGATGGTGGGGAAAGGGAGATGTCTAAAAATATCCCATCCTGGGCAGGCAGAGTACAGCAGGAGGAGTCAGTCCCCCGAATCTCCCTTTAAAAGGGAAATGCTGATTGAACGCAGGGGGCGGTCTGAGCTACATGTAGGGTAATCAGCACTTCCTCAGATTGGCAAGGTCTCACCCCAGCAAGCGGGAGAGCGGAGCTCACTGCACTGTCTCCTTAACGTGTCAATATGGAATCAGAAATAGGGCATCAGGGGCTTTTATTAGCAGAACTGTACAGATAAGGGATTCCCACTATCAATGAGGATGGGATTCTCAGCCAGAAGAGGCGGATATTTGGTCTGGGTAATAAAAGCTTTACGCCGACCCCTGCCGAGGATGATGCTAATAACAAACATTTAACCATCACTCTTATAAAAAATAGATTCGTGTCCAACACAGTGATCGTGAACTCCCAAGTATACTCAAGATGGTCCTCATACTAATGGGTACATTACATGCACATGAAGAAAGATGCACAAAGCAATTTATATGGGCTGAATTTGAACAAACAAATGGAAATGAACATTACTAAATTTACTTTGTTTCAATTCAGATCAAATCAATTGTTTGCAACTAATTTACCTTAGTAAAATTGAGTAAATCCAATGGATCATTTCTTTAGTGTAGTTACAAGATTACATTTGAAATTATGTGAAGATTAGAGTTAGTTTAGAGAGTCCTGATTCTGATTTGACTTCCAGTGTGAACACAAATCAAACTAGATTAAATGGAAATCAACAACTGATTCTGTTTATTCCAATTACCAATACCTGAATGTCCATAAATGAACAGAGCAGAGACTGTAATAACTATGTTTGCAGGATGACTAAAGCCTCTGGAAAAATCAGCACATGTACAAATGATGGCTTAAGCTTAAAAATGTTTGCATTTTGGCAATGGCGGATGTTTTTGTGTATACATTAACCCAGTGTACTGCGGGAGCTGAAAGTTAAAAGGACGGCCAGAAGGTCCTCGATTCTGACATTTCTTTAAAGGGTCACAAGAAGCACATTTTTTGAGATGTTGACTAGGCATGGGACGATAACTGTGTTCAGGGTATAACGCAGCTTGGAAAAGTCAAGGTTTTAAAACCGCCAAAATGTTCTGTAATATCGTTCCTAAGGTACATGTAAGATTTTTTATTTTTTTATATTTTTTTTTTTAGAACAACAGCATCCCCAGCAGAAAAATAAAAACATCCAAAGATGTTGTTTTAAAAGGCAAAGAAATCTGTTTTTGAAACAAATGAAAACAGCAGCAGTCAATTAACCTTTTGAATTATTCAGCCTGACATGTTTACTGTTCCAAACTATTACAAATCTTTTTTTTTTAAATAAAATATAATGTTTTTAAAAGGGGAAAAAGTTTTTACCTAGACATTTAAAAAGAATATATTTTAGAGCACAATACCATGACATTTTTATTCAATGTTATTATGCCGGCCCATGCCTAATGTTGACAGACATATGAAGAGTCTAGGTGCAAAAACCTCTAAAAGCCATCTGATGTTTTTTCCAATAATTATCTTTTTTCTCCAACTCCTGTGTGTAGGCTCAGAAATTTGACTTTTATAGTAACAAATAAGTAATTTGCATGCCATTTAAAGTAAAATAACAGAACATAAACATTAGGAGACTGACAAAAATAGTCATTTTAGGAGAACATTTCAGATGGCATTTGGTATTTGCATCTGAACTCTTCATATATGTCCCACGTTGCTAAAAACACTATTAGGACACATTTCACAAAAACCTGAAAATGTGATTTTTTTTTTTTTTTGCGTTATTTCAAGCAAATTTGTTCAACAAATCGGCTCATCTTCTGGCATTAAAAAACTGAACAAATTGCAGTATGTCGTCAACAGAGAAATGAACATTATTGACAACTCATTTGCAACAATAACTGGTCAAACCTATTATTCATTAAAAAAAATAATAAATACGTAAAATATAATCAAAACAGAAAATTGTTTGTGTTCACTCTTGTAGTTTGGCCTTGACCAAAAATAAAAAGTCCAAACAGCTAATGTCAATTGTAAGTCCAAATATAAAGATATAATAATAATGATAATAATAATAGTAATAATAATAATAATAACAACACCACCAACAAGAAACAAATAATAGTTTTATGTTGTATACTTTGCTTTGAGCTTACTGAACATTCAATGCAATATTGTGTGCTGGTCTGAACATGTGTATTGCATGTGTGCACACAAGAAGGTATTTTATCAGTTGACATCTTGTGAAAAATTTATAGATGTCAAAAGAAGCGTCAGGAAATCCTCCATCACACACAAACGAAGATCTTCAGTAAGTAGACACGCTTCTGAGAAGCCTACTGAACTATAATGACCAGCTGGGTGACTATAAAAAAAACAAAAGATATTTATTTGCACATCTATTCTGTTGCATCTTGTTTTTCATCGATTTACTATGATTCCTTTAGACTTTTTTTGTTCATATTGCACTTGCCTGGACAGAGTGTATACCGACCAAGCTTATCAGTGATCTAAGGGCACTTGTTTGATGTACACCAAAGTACTGTTCACACTTAAAGTAAATCACACTAACCCAGCATCTATGCTATTGTAATCAAACAACCAAACCTAGCATGAACACACCCTTAAAAGTAGAGGAACAGAGCTATCTAGGAACAAAATTAAAGAGTTTCACATCAGTCATCTTAAAACCCAACTATGACCACTAACCACACTAAATGATGAGAACGACAACAGTGCAGCGCTCAAAACAGCAGCTTTCCACTTAAAAAAAAATAATTCACTAGGTAACGCCTTTGAAGATGTATTTAGAAAGTGTTTGGCATCATTTTAAGTGTTTATTAAGCACCAAATTATTTAAAAAGGCTTTAAAATGTGAAAGCTAGAAAATAGAAAGTCACATCTAGTCCGAATACATTTAAATCTACTACACACAGTAAGAACACTGTAATGTAATGAAATAAATAAATGCAGTACGCTGACACAGTGAAAAGACAGTTGTCTCAGCTGGCATCATTCTGATGTCATACAAAAGTGGAGCTGAAATTATCATCAGAGTGGGCGTCGAGTCCTTTTGTGGGCTGCTCTTCGTGAGCAGATCGAAGAGGCACCGGCAAGCAATGAAAGATATGTCTGTGCCAAAAAGAAAATTCCCTGTAGACCAAATAAAAGCATTACAAAATACAAAAAAAAAGAGAATGTTCTAACATGATGGAGACAGCTCTGAAAACATCACAGTGATAAAATACAATATTAATAAAAAAGACTGACCTTCACGCTGAAATTAATAGAAGACTTGGACAGAAAGGCATGTTATCCATTCTGACAGATAATGAATTTATTTAGCCAGCTACAAAGACGTTCACTTTTATGCAACTGAACACCTACGCAGACATCTATCCAGAATAGGATTGTATGACAGCAATGACCCTTGACCGAAAACGGTCTCACAAACATTGTGTCTGGCCCAAACAATGCCTGGTGATGTTCTGGAACATCTCGGTCCAACTAAAACTGGCCCACAGCGCAACTCAAGCAAAAGCCTACTTCATGAAGCATCAATTTAACTGGCAAACCTTGCATTACAATCAATATACACTGTTAAATCACACCATGCAACAAAAAGGTTTAAGGAAAGGGATTTTAAATTATGACACAACGTGATAATCCAAACCTGCATGACTTTCTTTCAATATAATCTGTCATTGCAGCTAAAAAGGCATTTTGTGTTCCACAGAGGCAAGAAAAAAAGAGTCTGGATCAACACTACGCAGCTTTAATCTTCAAATTGTTTACAAAATGCTTACATCTTAAAGACAATAAGCAGATGGTGAGCTCAAAAGGCCCATTGCTGACTGAACTGCATTATTAGTGCATACTCAACACTGAAACTGCAGAGTTCAATTAAAGTTGCAACCAGCACACACACAAAATCATCTTCTAATAGACGCTGGATTCATAACATTCCTTATGGAAAGAATGACAGATGCATGTGGTCAAAGAAAACCTGTAGCATGCACCTCCTGTCAAACCCAATCACACAATAATAAAGGGTGTGGACACAAATAATAAAAATAACTGCAGTTAACGGAGCAAATGTCAGACGTCATATAATAAAAATGATAACGCAATAACGCTAACTGACTGCCAAAATACAAAGGAAATTCCCTTATTGTCAAAGTACATAATAAGCATGTCCAGAAATGCAATGTTTCCTTGTTGGTGGCTTCCAGCTAGGCTAACACATATGGAAGTTATTCAACCGGCTGAAACGTGAACTGACATTTGTGTACATGAAGTATATGCCTTCTCAAAACACGTGTAGCAAATAATAAGTCAGTGTTTGGCAAAGCGATGGTTAATTTTCGTGTATTTTATTAAAAGCCGGTCAAACGGTGCGGCTAGCAGCTACTCAGCTAACATGACGGCTAACGTTACTCCGATTAAACACACACGACATGGGCATTTCCACAAGAAATGGACGTGTTTGGCAAGTAAGAGGGATGAGATGTGTAATAAAGAGGTGATCTGAAAAAAAGAAAAGCAGTTGAATGTGGAGGCGGTGGACAAGAGAGGCCTTGGTGGGATACTCACCCCTGTCTATGTGAACAGTCAGATTCACAGCAAATACAATCTATGTGAGCGGCTCAGGTCTAGCACAGCAGGTCACAGTATAAATTCCTGGGATGGTTTGTCCCTGCTCCTGTGTGATTTGATGCGAAAACACCAAGTCTTGTGTGTTACAGCCTCTCTGTAGAGCGACAGTGCCTCCTAACCACCATCTTACATTGAAATAGAAAGGGGAGGGGCGCGTCAAGTAGTGACTTTTCAGCGCATGCGCAGTTGATTGTGGGATTGGGTTTACTGGGTAATGTAGTGTTTGGGGTATTTGTTGTTGTTGCAGTTTTAGAACACATAACAAACAAGAGAAATAACAACATTATATTGACTTTAAACTGAATACAATTTAAAGAAAAAAAAAAAACATTACAATTATCCCCAGGACACATTTTAAAGCTTTAAGATAATAGCAGTTCTTTTTGTTTTGGTATTTTTTGTTTCTTTTATCGTAAATAAGCAATGACCTCTTTTGATTTTAAAGTGAGTAAAACTAGTTTTTTTCACTGTCCATTTACATTTAAGAATGAAAAATTGTCCATATATAATGATCAAATAATCAAGATACCAAATTTTAAAGTCAAATGCATTCTCATAAAAAAAATCATCTTTTTCTTTGAATTCGAACACAATATTTGTACTCTGCTTAATCAAAAAAGAAAATATCACAGCAAAACTATTGTGTATAAATACAATTATAAAATAAATGAACAATACTCTCTTCTTTATCATTACAGAAAGCACATTTTAAATCAGCATCTTTACTAAATTTTGCAATTATCTGTTTTACAGGATGATTATTATTAACAATTTTAAATGATACCTCTCTAATTTAATTTATAATAGAAAAACGTCTGGAAATCTTAAGTCTCGTTCAAGTTGACATCTTGAAATTGTGATCTCCAAAAACCAATGGTTGTATGAACACGGACAATCCAGATAATCAACGGATAATGCAGTGTGCAACATGCTGCACTAAAACTGTTCTTACTTGAACTGTAGCTATTCAATGATATTTTAGGGGAATGTAATTTTTTTTTGCATGAACTAATGATTTATAGCTTTATTGGCAAACTACGTATCATATGAATATACATTTTTTTTAGCTTCCTCAGGATTTATTTGTTTGTCAAGTTTTACCTATGAAAATATTCAACTGTTCAAAAAGACAAGGCTACATTAGGCTTAAAAAATATGCAAAGTAATATCTGTAGAAATAAAATCACTTGATATATGTTATGGCCTATATTAAGTCGTGTCTACACAATTGTATATGTCTAAAAATACTTTCATAATTGTCAATAAGGCTGTTAATAATAATAAAAATAATGGTTTTTATTATTATTATTAATAATATTATAGGAGTAAAATGCATGAGACAGACACCATTTCACATTTATCAGTATTTTATTTAAATTTGTATATTTATATGTACATATTTCATTTACATATTTTATTTCACTGCACAATTAAATTATTACAAACTTATATTTCTCATTTTATAGTTCTCATGTTTGACCCACTTCCAAAGTTTACCAGTAGATGGAGATGTAGGCTAATTATTTCAGAATGAAGACTTTTCATGTCCACAATATTATTTGTATCTCACACTTAAAAAACATCAACAACTAACAAATCTATGACCTATGAAGGATTGTAAAGTATTTTTCTGAATCACATTTTTTTTAACAAATATAATAAACAGATCTTTATTCCTTAAGAGGCACCTGAGGACACGAGTCAGCAATTCCAGCAGCCACATCCTTTAAAATCTTGCTCTGGTCTACACTCTGCAGAATAGCCCTAAGCCACTGCAGGTACATCTTCCTCCTCCTTCCTCCTCTCCTTCTTGAGCAGAGAGTTTGTCAGTATGGGCTCTAACAAAGCGAAAACCAGAGAGTCATCGTTTACATTGATGGCCCTATACATGCTGAGTGAAGAACAGTTGCACCATTCGCTCTAAACAAAGCTTTTGGACAGGATGAAGAGGCTGTTGTAGCTGTCCTCCATGCAATGGATTATATTGTCTACAATCTACTTCCCAGAAACACGTACCTGGTAAAAGCAGTAGATCCAGCAAAACTGAGAATATTGAAGCGGCCATAGCTATAGAAATACATGTAGAAATATTTAGTAAAAATCAATAAAACTGTTATAAATCAAATGTTATTATTGATGACATTTTTTATTTTATATATTTAATATATGTTTGTCACATTCACATGTCTTAAAAATCTATTGTATATTACAAAACAAATACAGATTGGCAACTATAAACTGCTACACAATGCAGTGCTTTTTAGAACACTTATTAGAACAACTCTATATAATTTATAGTGTTTTACTTTTTAAAAAATCATTATTTATTATTTTTGTACGAATAACAATAAACATAAATGACAGTTCTAATCCTGCTTTGACAAGAATAAATGAACAAATTGTCATTTACCTTTGAAATATGAACATATGTTACATTCAATCTATCGGATTTGTGTGATTTCCTCCTGCTTTGCTGTGCAGCTGATAACGTCCTTATGAAGACATCACTGCATATTATTAAGCACGCTTTAAAAATTGCACAACACTTTTCCTGAGAACTTGAACTTCCCCAAATGCATGTCTATAAACTTCCATTACATTTGATATGGGTAAACGTGTGCAATACTATTATACCTCTAAAGTAACTGATATGAACTATATTTATTACATACACTGTTTTTTTTTATACCACATTGCCTCATGGCTGCACATTTCAAATGTATTTATACATATAATAACTTTTCTTAAAGTTATAGTTGCAAAACTTTCTGTCAGCTCTCTCTATTCTCTCTGATTGTACTCTATATTCATATATTGTATAAAGAAATACATAAAAAGCACTAAAACTGCTTGGCTAAATTTATTGAAATGTTAATGCACAAATTAAATACCAGAAATATCCAGAAAAAAGAAACATAAAGGGAGTCACAAAAATGTACAAGAAATATGTTTTTCTAACAAGCAGTCATCCACGTTTGTTTCTATTATGAAAGGAATTAAGAAACAGCATTTTAAACATATTTCCGGTGCTCAGACATCTTTTAAACTTTGGTGGAATCCCCCTGCAAAGATAAATTAAATGATAGAGCTATGATTAAAACGGTCATAATTAAAGAATTATACAGTTTAACCCCACAGCATTGATAGTCATTGGTGCTAATGACATACTATTATTATATGTATCCTATATAACAAGTATTTAACACATTTATATTTTATTTTCCACTTACCTGATTTTCGAGAGAGTCCTTTCAGCTGGCACTTTCCAACGGCAAGATTACAGGAATATAAACCCAGACATCCTGCACAATCCGGCTGCTCACTGCATGCCTTTGTCTCGATGGATCTGCAACCAGACTATAGAGAAAATATGAATGAGAATCATTGATACAGATATTAAAGCAGCCCAACATTATAAAAATAAAGGGCAAAACTAAGGGGTGAAATGAGGATTACAATAGGGAAATTAATAAAATAAATTACTGAAATAAGCCTAAATAAAAGTAATTGCCAAGAAAATATGTACATTTTCATTTAGTTTAACTTGATGCATTATAAATTATAGAAATAAGCAGAGAAATTATTTTTACTCAGAAATTGATCATAAATTTCTTTTATAAACTATTGCCAAGAAACACTAAATTTAACATGTTTTTATTTTTAAATGTAGGTAAGAAAAAGTAGGAAGATTAAAATATCACGTTTGGGGTAATATTAATAATGATGATAATAGTATTACTAATAATGTTTTTAAAATAATACTAATGCTTTTTTTTTATAATTAACACACTTAATCCATAAAACAAACCTTTTGTTTGTTTTATGGATTAAGTTTTTGTAAAATTTTGTTACTTGAAATAAATAAATATTTGCAGGAATAAAATTAATAAAACAATTGTAATTGGCAGAAAAATTATTTTACTTAGGTTAATTTTGTGTATTAAAATAACTACAACAACAACAAAAAATTTATAAAAACAAAACAAAAAAACTCCACGTGTATATAGTCATATAAATATGAAAAACAGCAACAAAAAAGGAGAAATCAAAAATAATTTAAAGTAATTCAAACTCTGAATAAAAACTACACAAAAGCATTTCAACAATGAAATACCACTGCCTAAAATAAGATAACATTTTCATTATTGTTTCCAAAATAATGTAGACAACATTAAAACATTTAGTGTCCAATTATCACACTCAAAAAAAAAAAAAAAAAGATTCACACATAAGTATTCTTACCGTGTCCGAATTGAACTGACCATAATCATGTTGAGGAACATCATTAAACCCTGATCCGAAACCTTCAAAATAATCTGATTCAAAACCTCCGCTGCTCTCGTATTCATCAAACCTATGGTAAAGTGCATGCTTTTCTCCATTACCAGCACCCCAAACTTGACCATCTTTCCTCAACCTCATCCCTAGCAGGCTGGAAGATGCTTGAGCCAGAAAGAGAGCAAGAATCCAGCTGTGTTTCATAATTGACATCCTCTAAAACAAGAGCACCGAGACCGGCTCAAACAGCCGCTTATAAAGCATAACAACCACCTCACTTTTGTGCTGTTTGACTTCTTCTTGGATGTATTTTCCGATGACTGCATCTGTGTTCTAAAAACAAAACGTATGCAGGATTATTAGTTACCATGCGCGAAGAATATTACAAATAACCTGCATACGGTTCTCCTTAGTGACGGTCATTAGACACAGTGTATATTGTCAATAAGGACGTCTATAAAAGTCGAATTCCAAACAAATGACTGATATTTTTCTATGTGCTCTGAAAAAACGTTCTATTCAAGTAAAACGTGTAAAGCTATTTGGTTTGCTTTTTCTCTTTTCTTTGACTTCACAATGTTTGAGGGGTGTAATATTTGGTAACCAAGCACTGGGTTTCGGTCTTTAAAGATTCGAAAAAGTTTAAACCACGAGTGGTGACAGGCAAGGTAGTTTGATTGACATGAAACAAAGACAAACAAGATGTCTAATTCTGCATGTATTTCAGAGCCATTGAGAAATCAGTCAGTAGTTACCTCAGCAATAGATGATAGCAGGGTGATTTCACTTATTAGCTTAGATTAAACTTGTTTTTTTTTTTTGAGAATGTACAGTTGAAGTCAATATTATTATTGCTAATTTTATACACACTACCGGTCAAACGTTTAGGATTTTTAATATAACTAATTTTAATGAAGATTTTTCAGCATCATTAATCATTATTCCAGTCTTCAGAGTCACATGATCCTTCAGAAATAACTAATATTAATTATTATTGTTATTATTATTATTGGGCAACACGGTGGCTCAGTGGTTAGTACTGGCTCGGCTGGGTCAGTTGGCATTTCTGTGTGGACTTTGCATGTTCTCCACCTGTTCATGTGGGTCTGCTCCAAAGTCCAAAGACACGCGCTATATGAATTGGGTAGGCTAAATTGTCCTTAGTGTATGTGTGTGAATGAGTGTATGGGTGTTTGCCAGTGATGGGTTGCAGATGGAAGGGCATCTGCTGCATAAAGCATATGTTGGATAAGTTGGCAGGTCATTACAATCTCTGATTAATAAAGGGACCAAGCCAAAAAGAAAATAAATGAATGAATGTAATTGTGCTGGTTAGAGCCTCGGCTAGGGTATTTCTATGTGGAGTTTGCATGTTCTTCCTGTGTTCATGTGGGTTTCCCCCCGGTTCCCCTGTTTCCCCCACAAGTCCAAAGACATGTGTGTGAATTGGGTAAGCTAAATTGTCCGTAGTGTATGTATGTGAATAAGAGAGTATGGATGTTTCCCAGTGATGGGTTGAGGCTGGAAAGGCATCCGCAGCGTAAAAACGTGCTCGATGAGTTGGTGGTTCATTCCACTGTGGTGACACCAGATTATTAAAGGGACTAAGCCGAAAAGAAAATGAATGAGCTCCTTGTTTGATCGTCTTTAAAAAGGAGTTTGCCACCTATGCAGAGGCTTTAAAAATAATGAAGGGTGAGAATGCAAAAAACAATTGTATGATTTGTTTTAAAAAATATGGTTTTATCTAACCCCTAACAAAGTTTCTGTTTAATGTCTGGATGATTTGTTAATTATTGAATATTTTATACATTGTGTTTTTTATGGCTCTATAATTGATTCAATATCTGACATTTTTCAGTCGGTTTGTGAAAGTTTACAACGGAATGGAGTTAGATGAAATTGTTTTTCTCTTGGGTCTTGGTTTATCTTCGGTTTCCCGAAAACACCCGACCCCTCTGCGGCTTTTTTTGTTCACCGAAAACATTCGATCACGTAATGCGGCTTCGGTTTTCCGAAAATGGCCGAGCGCAGAACGGCCGCTTTCCGGAAGATCCGGGTGCTAAGGCTTCAACATAAACAGCAATGGCGGAGGCAGCGGCAGCGTCAACAGCGGCTCCAGCAGTTATCGGAGGCTGGACGAAGCACGTAACCTGCAGGTTAGTGGAAATCCGCCGATAAACGCGCTTATAATAAAACGAAACGGTCACTAATATAAAACACAAACGGCTGTCTGTGCGTCGATGACGAGGCTTCGGTTATCGCCGCTGTCTTTGTGCTGAACTGGATGAGTGTGTGTGTGAGAGTGTGTGTTTGTTATTGTAACGCACAGATCAGTCCGACAGCGGCTGTTTTTTTGCGTTTCTTTCTTCCTCTGTTAGTGTATCTCTGCGACATCCGAGTTTGTTCAAAACAACACGACAGCGCATCTTCCTCATAATGCAGCCAGTTTGACAGCTAGGAAGCCATAAAATAAAACCTTGAGTTTACTATTCTGGGATTCAGCCAATGTGTCAGTGTCAGCCTTGATGATTTATGCTTATGAATTAATTTATCAGGCTTTATCCAAGTCTAGTCATGACTTTACAAAATGTACGTTTTTATTTAGCCACACAGTCAAAGGTATAACACGACTTAAAGCACAAGTAATATGCAATGTTTACATTAGCACTATTGTCAAATAAACGCACATATGAAGAACTAATTAAGTCTATCCATATAAAATATGTGGTCAGTGTAATGCATATTATAGTCATGTCCTTCTAAAGTCGTTTTTATATTAATATGACCTGGATCTTAATAATATTTTGTTATGAAAATCTTGTTTATTAACCTTCGGATAGCTAGATTATATTTCAGTGGCACCAATCAAGGCCAGTCTCAAAGCCATCCTTCATTTCTAGGTATTTCATGCACGGGCTTTGCAAAGAGGGTGAGAACTGTCGATATTCACACGACCTCAGCAGCTGCAAGCAAACCATGATCTGCAAGTTCTTCCAAAAGGGATGCTGTGCTTTCGGGGACCGTTGCAGGTATGAGACACAATGATGTAATGTGTTGCATTATAATGTGCACCAAAACATCCGCTGGCGCTCATGACCAGATCTGAACAGATCTTGCATAACATCAAAGGTAATGTAATCTGTATTTCTGTGCTGGAGAGCGTAACACGTGAGCGGGTTTAAATGCAGTAGCGGTAAGCAGGGCTTCTGAGAAGCGTTGTGTGTTGCTTCATTACATGCCTGCGACATCTGAGACGCGGAATTTTTTTGTAAACAAGTTGTTGGGTTAGTCGCTTTCTTAAAGAGGCAGTTTATCCAAGTCATTATTTAGTTCTTCCTAAATCTGTAGGGGTTTTTGTCGAAAACAGGTTTTTAACCCTCACCCCATTTACGTTTGAAGAGTTTAACATTTTAAAAATAAAATATGGCATAAAAGAATACATTTCTTAGCATATCTCTTTAAAATAAATGAAAATGAGTAATTGTCCAATGCATTTCTGTTAGATTAATGTTATATGCATAGAAATAAAATGCACTAATATAGAAGTGGCCTCCAAATGCATCATTTGCATGTTCGGGTATCTATATCTATAGACCACATAAATGCAAATGAACAATTTGCAGACCTTTTTTTGTTTCTTTATTTTGAGTCAAACATGAAAATTACTTAAAAATTTACTTGCATCAAACTTGTTTGCGTTTTATATTTTATTTTGATTATTTTTTATAAATAAGGTATTTTGAAGAATGTTGGAAACCGCATTTAACTCCTTAGTATTGTTTTACCCTAATTCTTCCAAATTTCCTCATTTGTGTTTAAAAAAAAAAAAAACATAAAAAAAAAAAAAAAAAAACGTAAATATTTTCAAGTGTACTTGCTGTCTAAATCTACGTAAACGCCAACAAGTGCACTCGAAACAAACTAGCCAACAAGCCAACCACCTTTGGCCAATGCAGTCAAGTGCACAGGTGCTTGAAGCGGTGTAAAAATTAGCCTGTGAGCCAGACAGTTCAGACAATGTTTGTCTCATATCTGTCTGCGGTCAAGTGTATCCCCATAGTAACTGCTGCCCCCAGCTCGGCACTATGGGAATGTCTTTGTTTGGCGTTGGCTGCTCTATGACAGCATTACATCTGACTGAGAGCTCCCTCTTACTCTCCTCCTAAGGTCTGTTTCCTATGGATTCAGGGTCTTCAGCATAAATATCTGATTTTTGTAACTAGACTTTGTGGAATGATTAATGGTGATTAATCGCATTCAAAATAAAAGTTTGCATTTACACAATATGTGTCTGTCTAATGTGTATACACACTTATATAAAATGCAAAAGTGAATAAATCAGGGGGAAGAATTTTATATATATATATATATATATATATGAATACACACACCCAAAGCAGGAAGAATTATTATTATTATTATTATTATTATTATCATCCTGATTGCATGATATGCCATATTTAATATTTAAGACAAATATGTATTACACCAGACAGCATTTCTAATTATATATTTGTTTTGCATGAACATTGTCATTTATTTTGCCCTGATTGGACCATCTAAAAATGACACGCCTCAAATATATACATGCATGATGTGTGTATTTATATATACATAATAAATATGCACAGTGCATGCATATATTATGTAAATATTATGGCGAGTGATGTAAAAATTTGACATGATTTCTGAAAATAAAAGCATACAATTTGTTAGCATGTTAGCAAGTATTTGGACTGAAAATGTATAACAATTAACATTTAAATAAATAAATATATATACCATAAATATAATATATACCATAAATTTGTTCCTAATAAAATAAACAAAAAAACATAACATTTGAAAAGCTAACTTTTTTTGTTTAAAAATGCAGGACTCACTAGCTTAAATACTATTACAGAATTCCAGTTCCTGTGGATTCTGCGTCTTGAGCTTAAATACGTGCTGTCTGGGTTTAGATTGATGTCTGACAGAGTTGTATTGTTGACACGGGGAGGTCGCAGGGATGCTTTTGTCTCCATATGGGGCTCACCGCATATTTTTAGGGATGCTAGGGGGTCGTCCAGTGTTCATTAAGCGTGTGTGGAATGGGCCTCAATGTGTGCTTCATTATAGACGGATTCTCCATTGCTGCTTTGTGTCTATCTTTGCTGTCTCCTTCTAAACTCCCTCCACCCCCACCGATCTGGGGGCCAAATAGAGCAGCGTTGCAGCCTGCATGGCAATTACATAACCTCAATGTGTTAACATGCATCTCTCTCTCTCTCTCTCTCTTGCTCTCTCACGCGCTCTGCTGTTGCTACCGCCGTCAGGTTCATTCGGTTCACGCTGCCATTCTGCAGTAGCCACTTGTGTTTCCGCCACCGAGTCATTTATTTATGCGAACACCCCCCCACCCCCGCATATAGGCTGACACACGCGCACAAACACGCACGGGGCGAGAATAGGGCTGGATGACCCGGGAGGATTGAGGATGGAGGGGTCTCTAGATGCATAAGGAGAGCATTGAGGCGTGATTTGTTGGGGAGTAATGGGAATGCTAAAGGTCAGGCACTAAACTGTGTGTTATGACAGGGGGTGTTCAGACTTGTTGGTTATCAGAACTAATGGTTTAGTTTGTGCATATTGGGGAAAACTATTCCTTCTTTTTTAAACGATAAATAAACAGTATTTTATCACAATAATAATATAATATTTTAATCTACTTTAGTAATATGATTTATAATAGGTGACTTTTTTTTGGTGTAAATTTTGTATATATTAGCATTTTTATTAAATAATATTTTAAGAAATATATTTAAATGATTATATTTGTTAATGTCTTTAGTTTAATGTTTTGTTTGTGAGACAAAATATTTTATTTAATTATTAAAAGGATTACAATATTAAGAATCACAGTGCATCCCTAAAATGCAAGTATTTATATAAACAAACAAAACATACTAAATAAAATACCACTATCCTGTGTTTATCCATTTACATATTTAAGATATGTAGTTTATTTTATATTGTCTCCATTATATTTTAAAATATAATAAACCTATGTTCAAGCACATATTTTGTTTTCATCCTTATTATTGTTATCGATAATATAGGTACTTTAATCAAGAAAAATAAAATGAAAGATGCTTTAGGATGATCTGTATCATTAAAGGCATTAGTACTTCACATAAAATCTATTATGCTTAATAAAGATATTGCATTATTGCACTCATATTTTGCACTTTAAAATATGAAGCACATTCTGTTGAATTGAATAAAATGAATTCCTCATAGAATTAAAACATATTAGATTCGTTTGAAGAGATTTTTAACAGTGCTGTTAATCCAAAAATAGCATTAAATGGCATGAAGCTCAAAACAAACAAACAAACAAACACTTATAATATTTTCAAGTTGTTGGAAACTAAGTCAACACTTGCATTCAATATGGTTTCTGTGTTAACAAAATCACTTTCGCAAATTTAATTTGATGCAGACACCAAAACTTCTGGACCCTTAAAGTCTTCTATTATACCAGACCTATTATGAAATAATCAGTGTTAATATTCAATTTTGCAGTGCCTGTGACACACATTGCATTTATTAATTTGTTTATTTACTACAGTGTCTGTTTGTGTTGCTCAAAAGACGTTTCAGACAGCTTGCAAAAGCAAAGTCATGGGTTTGGTTTTCACAGAACACAAACAATCATGAAACACAAACCTGAAAATCCATAAACAACAACAATAAACCAATATCACAATATGCCAGTGTTGATATGAGTAATATTATGTGCAACTCTGCATTTTTAAAATGATATTTAAAAACTAATTATACTTTACAAATACATTCTTGCTAAATGAAAGTCTGTAAATGGATTTCAAATGGATTGATTACCTTACAACCATTGCACATGAAAGCCAAGCTCTTTTTTTTTTTTCCAAAATAAATGAATGTTTTCTGAAATACTAACAACCTAATGCTACATAAAAACCTGTTCTTACACACAAAGAATTAGTAAGGTTGATCAGTTAACCTAGAATCCTTTTCTTATATTTTATTTCAAGTTTTAAAATGTGTATGCTGATATAAGTAGACAGCCTGCACTATAAAACACACTCGCAAGTATTACGTCTATAAATGAATCACTTCTGTCATATTTAACTGCTGCACTATGAAGGTGAACAACACATGTACTCACCATGGTTTGTGACAGCTTGAGAAAACATCTGCAGTGGCAAACACTCTGACACCTATGAAAGAAAAAAAACACAGCATTTTAAAGATTGTTAAAGACATTTTTCTAAAATGCCCATCTTATACTATATTAAATGAACAATATTATCTGAGAACACCGTTTTAACCGTTTTAATGTAAATAGATAGTTTATCCAAAAATTCAATATTACTCTCCATTTATTCTCCCTAAAGTGAAATTAAACTTGTATGAGTTTCTTCTGTTGAACACAAAAGAAGATATTTTGAAGAATGTTGGAAACCAGACAATTGACAATACCCATTTTTTATAAATAGAAATCAGTGGGTGCAAAAACATTTTAGGTGAACTGTCTCTTTGAAGATTTACCACTCACTTAAAGTGGCAGTTCACTCAAAAATGTAAATTTCTTAACTGTTTCCCCATCCTCAAGTGGTTATAAACCTTTATGAGTTTTTTTATTCTGTTCAACACAAGTTATTTTGAAAAAGTATGGAAACCTGTAACCATTGACATCCATAGAAAAACAAATCCCATGCAAGTCAATAGATTCAACATTCTTCAAAATATGATAACATAATCTTCACATTTGGGTGAACTATCCCTTTAAATGTGTTATTTTAAGGCATTAACAATAATACAAAAGCAATAATATTTATATAAAAAACTATTGCAAAACACTAAGAGCAGGTTAAGAGCAGTGAGTAAATGACAGATTCTTCATATTTGGGTGAACTATCCCTTTAAATATGTTATTTCAGGGTATTAATAACAATAAAAATGCAATACATTTGATATCTATTATAAACAAATAACAATTTTCTTTCTTCTCATTTTTCATCTCATTTCAGAATAACCACAAAGGCCTAGAGCAGCGTTTTCTTTGCACGGCTTACCTACTGCATCAGCTCAGTTTTCATTCAATTTGCATTGTGCCCTAGGTATGAACATACCAAACCTTCCAAGCAAGACGAAGTCCCCAGTTCGAAGCCGTCGATGCCGCTGACCGCTGCTCCCCTTGCTGGCACTCCTGAACCCGTGTCTGATGGGCCAGGTGGCACGACCGGCGCCCAGGAGAAGCCCCAAGGCTCAGGGGCAGTGGACTGGGTCAATGCCGCCGAGTTCGTGCCAGGGCAGCCCTACTGCGGGAGGGGTGAGTGTGGCAGGGAAAGATGCTCAGCCAAGACAATCTGTGAAAACATGGTGCCAATAGATAAGCCAAGCAGTTGGTGTACAATATGAAGGCTGGTATTATGATCAGCTTACTACTTTTGTGGCGTTCTTGTCCTCACTTCCTGTTGAATAAATTTGATTAAATGTGTCAGGATTTTATTACTCTGATTCGAATTGAATTGGATTTCTTTTTTTCCAATTCAATCATTAATTACTGTTCCATCTGTTAACATTTAGTGAAGTAACAGTTAACAGACAGTTGTTGTTATTCTAGTTTAATTTAGATATTCTGTGCATTAGTTCACTTTTTGATTTAGGATTTATTGTGATCATAAACTAATAAATTTAATCTTAAAACATTGTCAAAATAAACATGAACCATTTTATCTTAAATGCTGTGTATCATGATGGATTAACTGATATTGAGAAGTTGAATATTCTTGGTCTTTATCGTGTTTTCACTACATCACTTGAGTCTTTATAGGCTTTTACCATGGTTTGGGGTGTTTTATTTATACTTGTGCAGTTGGCAGACACCTTTTTTTATTCCCCAAAGCAAGTGCATTCAAGCTTCATGCTTTATCAGTATGTGCATTCCTTGGGTATCAAACCCATGACCCTGGGAGTAACACAGAGAAACGCTGTTCAAACTCACCATAGGAAGCCAACTCTATGATGATAAAATAACAGAAAATAAAAGCTGTGGTTAACATCAGATTAAATGTGAGTGTTCATTAAAAAATTACAATGCCCTTTTAGATAGGATACACGGATGACTGGAAGTGCAACATGCACATCAACATAGAAGAATTTTGTATGACACTGTATAACAATAATGAATATTTTTACATTACTGTGACGTTTAGGGTAGGGGCAGACGTTAAAATACAATTTATTGGGTAATTTATTAGATAACATAAATAATACTCGGTACAACTACTGTTTATACGATACTGTGACAGTTGGGTTTAGGATTGGTGTGGGAGTAGACGTTAATAAAATACAATTATTGGAAAATTTAATACATAATGTTAATCATTTTCACAACTATATCTGATCTAGCAACAACCCATTTATAGCAATGTTAATATTTTTTAATGTACACTAAAACTGTATTTTTTTATTTAAATAAAGCTGAAAAAATATTTACATTTAATTTAAATTACTTCAGCTAACTAACAGAAATATTAAAACCAAAATAAAAAGCCGAAAGTAAAATGCATAAAAATGAGTAAACAATTGCTAAACGGCAAATTCAATATATACATAAATACGGTCATGATATATAAATATTCAGCCTGAGCTCGCGAGAAAGTATTCTACGTTTTGTCCGTTTAGTGGCTAATTTGTACGAGTTCAGTCGTACGATTTTTAAAAATGAGGCGTGGCATCCTACCCCACCTCTAAACCCAACCATCATTTGGTGATGAGCAAGTCGTACTAAATTGGATGAATTAGACTTGTACGAATTCACCACTAAATCAAAAAGTTACAAATTGCAGTGAAATTGTGTTGAAATATAAGACTAAAATAACCTTGCCATGTATAGTCGAAATCAAAATGATTAGCCCTCGTGAATTTGTTTTCTTTTTCAAAAATTTCCCAAATTACATTAAACAGAGCACAATTTTTTTCACAGTATTTACTATAGTATTTTTTTCTTCAGGAGAAAGCCTTATTTGTTTTATTTTGGCTAGAATAAAAGCAGTTTTAATTTGAAGGTCAATAATATTAGCAGCCTTAAGCAATATTTGTTTTTGATTGTCCACAGAACAAACCATCATTATACAATGACATCCCTAATTACTGTAACTTGCCTAATTAACAAAATGAAGCCTTTAAATGTCACTTTAAGCTGCATACTAGTATCTTGAAATAAATCTAGTAGAATAGTATATACTGTCATCATGGCGAAGATAAAACAAATCAGTGATTAGAAATGTGTTGAACAACATCTTATTTCTTTTAAACCGAAATTACGGAGAACAAATATACATAATTCAGGGGGGCAAATAATTCCGACTTCAACTGTATTAATAAAGCCCATTAACCCAACTGTAGGCTTCTTACAGTTGCTAAGCAACATCACAACTTGGCAGATTCTTCGAGTGTGTCCGCAGGTGCATTTCATCGCCATTTTATGACCACTTCAAATGCTGCTCATACAATCACAACTAGCTGTTCTGTAATGCAGCCTGAATAACAGTCTCCTTTACTAAACTTGGACTGACCCAGCACACGCAGCAGATCTCCGGCTGTGCTTTACCCCTGCTCTCTCTTGTTCTTGCTGGCCCAGACCCACTTACATTCATCTTAAAAGCTGACTTCATCAGCAAAGAGCTGAAGTAACAGTGCTGTACTTTTCCTAGTCTTTGGGCAGCAGCCAACACTCCTACATTCGGGCAAGCAGGTGCTTCACTTACAGCGTTACATGGGCAGAACACCAAATACATCAGCAAAATCTATGACTTCACTAGCATTGACTCAAAAAATGGATCGGTGTTTTTTTAGCTCACACCACAGAACAGGGCTGCAGAATAGAGAGTTTCACTGGAGTCAGTTCAGGATATGTGATTCACAGCAAAGTAGAACCACAATCAAATGAAAGTTGATCAATTACACGTGTTTTAAGGAAGGTTTAAACCATTAGAGGACTGCAGGAGGCTCGAATTGAAATCACTTAAAGCAGATATTCAGTAAAGTTTCACCAGGATTTTTACTTTTTTTTTTTATCACGTATTAACATTAAAAATCTAATTGACGTATTCATTTGTTTCCTGTTTTTAAATGTCTATGTATTAATTCATATGTATTGGTGTTCTTGCCATGAAAATAGCCTTTGTGTCAACATGGCATTAAATAAAAATACACCATCATCCATTTCAGCATTAAAAATTCTTCTTATTATTATCATAATCATCATCGAAGAGGAATTGGATTTAGTTACTTACGGAATAAAGACAGTCCAGTTTTGTGTTTACATTTAGATTTTTGTTTCTGAGTACTGTTAGACTGCCCAGAAAACCTTAATACATTGTTTATTTCCTTTATATCGTTGCTGTTTTGTATTTATATATTCTTGTAATTTCTTTATCATATTGTATGCAGTCATAAAAAAATCATCCTAATGAATTTAAATGTATTTATTATGATCGTTTCAGTTACTAACTTATTTACTATCAAGTTTTTCGTTTTTTTTTTTAATTTTATTTATCCAAGATCACACATCCCTATACTTCTAAATGTGGTAATTTTTCTATCCCAATCCCAGGATGTTAGTTACTAAACCCTAAAACGGTTTCTTTCCCCCCCTCTCCTCACAGCCGACCCAGTGCTGTGTGAGGGGCCCGGTCCTCTCATCGAAGAAGAGTACGAGAAAGAACAAGCCAACAAAGAAATGAAGAAGCAGCTTTGCCCATACGCCGCTGTTGGCGAATGTCGCTATGGCCTTAACTGTGCCTACCTCCACGGCGACGTTTGCGACATGTGCGGCCTACAGGTGCTCCACCCGTCCGACACCTCTCAGCGCTCGCAACACATCAGGGTGAGTAGACCGTTTACACCTGATGTGTTTAGCCAATCAGATCACAAATAGAGGAGGTAGACAAGTTCCTGTTTACTCTTGGTCCACACTCTTTAGTGCAATTTTATTGATCAATTATTTATTTTTTTCACTTTGCACCACTGATTTTTATAATTATTATGTTTGTACCATCGACTTATTAACCTTTGGATGACATTTATTTTATTTCGTTATTACTTTTTAAGAATTCAAACACAATGAGTTACACACTTTTCTTTAGTCCAGTTCTGACCACTTTTCAGTTTTATATTCTTTATGGGTGGATAGGAGTTTTTCTTATGAACTTTTAATCTAGTATTGCTGAAAAGGCTTGAGGTATTTACATGCAAAGAAAAAAACAGTACAGAGAGCAGCAGGTTTTTGATTTTTAAATCAATTAATATGGATTCCTTAACAAGTCTCAGACTACATAACTACATAAATGCATTAATTTAAAGGTATTGACTCTTTAAATCACAGTGATGCCACTGCTGTTGTTTTTTTAATGAAAAAATAATCAATAAAATAAAATGCATTCTTTGAAAAGTATTTTGATGCATTATATTTTGTGGAGTGTCACAGGCATGGGCCAGTATAAGTTTCTGGCGGTATGATAACCTTACAAAACATATTCTTTTTTTAATGTCTGGGTAAAAAACAACTTTCTTTCCCCATTGAACACAAAATATTTCATTTTAGGAAATATTTATAATATTTTGGAACAGTAAACACGTCAGGTTAAGTAATTAAAATAAATTATTGACTAGTGCTGTCTTCATTAGTTTCAAAAACACAGATTTCTTCATCACATGAAAAAAAAACCTTTACATATACCTTAGGAAAGGTATATCATCATCTTTTTTTTTTTAGTACCTTTACTCTTCCAAACTGCGGTAAACCTTGAAACCGTTTATCGTCCCATGCCTAGTGTCAAATACACAATCTAATACACACAGACAAATACATACAAAACACACCCTATCCATTATAATATACAATAAACACACAATTAATAAATCTGGCCAGCAGATCTCAACAGCAGAAAATGTAATTAAAAAAACTATTGTGCTGGATCATCTACTAAATATTAGTATTCAGAATCCATAAGTTAATGCCTAGTCATTTAGCTTCTTTTAATTTGTTATTGCCATAGAAACATTCTGACAGTTAGAATTAGTTATTTGCCTCATTTAAAAAGAACACCCTACAAGAAGACACGTACAATCCCCTCATCCTGTGATCATCTGTAGAAGCATTGTCTGTAAGTTTGTGTTTATCTGTTTGTGTTTATATTCGATCTCAGATATAATTGTTATGTACATAGATAACTATAGCTCATTTCATGTACATCTTTTTACATAGTTTCACTCTGTTTCAACATACTCAATGTGGCATGGAATAAAGCAGCATTCTCTCACAATCTCACGTGTTGGAAAGAGTTTATCTGTCTGTCTAGCTTTGGCAAGAGAGATGCCGGAGTGAGGGCAGAACAGCTATGATTTTATTTTTGTGGAGCAAATTATGATTTAAATTATGAATTCTATAAGGTCAAACTTTGCACAGGCCAAAATGACAACAATTTTCTTTAATTAAATAGTTTGGTAGTACATTTTGCTTAAATGTTGCTGGAATAAAATATTGGGTCACACTTTATTTTGATGGTTCGCTTGTTGAATTTAAGTTACATTGCATCTACATGCCAACTAATTCTCATTAGATTATATGTAGACTGTTAGATTGGGGTTAGGGTGTGTTGACATGTTCTTGCAAAGTTTCTTATAGTGAGTTAAATGTCTGTTTAGCAGCAGTATCAACAGATATTAAGCAGAAAGTCTACTAACACTCAAATGGACCATCAAAATAAAGTGATACCTAATATTGCTTTAACAGTTAGGACCCAGATCAGCATAATTATTGTTGTATATTAAGTATATAATAGATTTATGAAGGGAAATGAGGTTAAGTTATTCAAAAAGTTCAATAATATCTTTATTCTGGCCATGATGTATGCTGTTTATTATCATCAAATCTAAAGAAAAAGACAAAAATGTCCATTAGCATGCACAAGGGTTGTAGTATGTCAGTCAGTAGGTGGTTATTTCTGTCTGTTTAAATGCATTTGACAACCTGATCTATTACTCTATGAGAGCAATCCAGTCCTATGTGTTTTTGTATTTAGCCTGTATTTAAATATTTAGCATGTTTAAGTATTTAGCATCAACAGGCTGGATTTTTGTCAATCTGATCGCATCCTGAAACCAGGTGTAAACTGGCACCTTTAGTTTTAGTCAAATCTTATTCTGTTGTTTTTATTTTATTATTATTTTTTATGGCAGGCTTGCATCGAAGCTCACGAGAAGGACATGGAAATCTCGTTTGCCATCCAGCGTAGCAAGGACATGATGTGCGGCGTGTGTATGGAGGTGGTGTTCGAGAAAACCAACCCTAGCGAACGCCGTTTCGGCATCCTCTCCAACTGCTGCCACTGCTACTGCCTCAAGTGCATCAGGAAATGGCGAAGCGCCAAGCAGTTCGAGAGCAAGATCATAAAGTAAGACCTCAAGCCCTTAAGATAATTAAACGTCTATTAAGTTAAGTAGGATTCTGGGACTCTGATCTGTAATATTATGCTCTTTATCTTTTGATTACAGTAATTCTAATAGTCCAGTGCTTATTTTAAATATCGGTGCTGGCGAAAATGGTTTAACAACCTTTTTTTAGTGACAATGTAACATGTTCTCCATCAGGTCCTGCCCAGAGTGTCGAATTACATCAAACTTTGTCATACCAAGCGAATACTGGGTGGAGGACAAGGAGGAAAAGCAGCAACTCATTCAGAAGTACAAGGATGGCATGGGGTACGCACTTTTTTACAGGGGATACTTCACCCAGAAATTGAAATGTACTCGCTGTTTATTCACCTTCAAGTGATTCCAAACCTTTGAATATCCCGGTTTCTCCTAAAACAATAGAAGATATTTTGAAGAAAGCTGGTGACCATTGAATTCCATAGTAGGAAAAACAAGTACTATAGAAGTAAATGGTCACAGGTTTCCAGCTTTCTTCAAAATATCTTCTTGTGTTTAACAAAACAAAGAAACCAGTAATGGGAGAATAAATGGTTACAACTTTCATTTTTAGGTGAAGTATTCCTATAACCCGACAGTTCACCCCTCAGAAATAATAAATACGTTTTGTTTTTTACTCACCCATTACTCTTTGCCCTCCATGGACCACTAAAGTTGGCTTCCCAAAGAATATCCTGTGTTCTCTTGTCCAGACTATGAGGGTAAATGAGGCTGAAGCTGCAAAAAAAACCCAACATGATCCATAAACATTTTTCACCACTATTTATTATATATAGAACATACCCCAGTACTTCTGAAATATTACATAATCTGCTGTTCACTGTAGTTGAAATTATCTGCATCACATTTAACATTTTGAACCTGAAAAATGCAAGCAACGCCGTTTGCCTTCAAAGATGCTAATGGAGTTAGCATGCCTTTTTAGAAGTCTAGGTTTTGTTGTCCTTTGGTGACTAGGGTGGAGTTTAAATTAAAACATGTACTGCTGCCAGCCACAAGAGAGCGATCCAAATATTCTGGCTTCCCTATTTGTAGACATACAAGGCACACTTACTGGAGGGTAATGAGGCGGTTGTTATCGCAGAATAAAGCCCAACATGCCACAAAACCTACAAATTAGACGCTAAACATTGTTCTAACTGTAGTAGCTTACTAATTCTTTAATTAAATGCAAAGCTGACAGAAGTAAAAACACCTGAATAGAGTATAAGTTACACTAACCTACGTATTATTTAGTCACAAGATGGTGCATCTTGTATTCACTGATGATTAAAAGTACCCGAATGAGCCTGTATTGTTTCAGTGGTTGTTATCTCAGAATAACATATCTTGGAGTGTCACGACCAATTAGAATCAAGTATTCCAGACAGGTCGTCAATCAGGTCAAACTTGTGGGTCGTCTGCTGTGGAAAGGCACAATATTATAGACCATTATTATCAAAATTGTGATCCGTTTGTTACCTTGGAGCGTCACGACTGACCAATCAGAATTAAGTATTAAACGTTATTAAAGGACAGAAACAAACTGTGGGTCGTCTAGACTGTTATTATCAAATTGTGATCTATTTGTTTAGCTAATCTGTTTTTTCCACCTTCTCAGAACTAAACCATGCCGATATTTTGATGAAGGCCGTGGGACCTGTCCGTTTGGAGCCAACTGCTTTTACAAGCACGCTTTCCCTGACGGGCGTCTGGAAGAGCCTCAACCCCAGAGGAGACAGAACGGCTCCAATGGAAGAAACCGGGTAAGGCTTCAACTCGATGCTAGTGCCAAATAGCATAAAAGCATATCATATTTACTTTTACAATGTGCAACGGAGCCATTAATGGACTCTGTATTGCAGAACACCAGACGGACGCATCTCTGGGATCTTTTAGACGAGCGGGAGAACAGCGACTCCTTCGACAACGAAGACGAGGAGATGGTGAGGTTCGAGCTGAGCGAGATGCTCCTAATGCTTCTGGCTGCGGGAACCGACGACGACGTCACCGACTCCGAGGACGAGTGGGATTTGTTCCACGAAGAGCTGGACGATTACTATGAGCTGTACCTATAGCAGGCCTCGCTCCGTCCTTCGCTCATTTTCTCCTAAACTAACCCTCATCCCTATTTACTCGATTTCAATCCCTGTTAGAAACTAGACAGGACTGTCTCGTGTGACTGATGGGCAGTAGCGTCTTCCCCCTGTGTTGTGGCAGTGCCTTTCAGCAGGCCATTAAAAAAACAAAACAAATTCATTTCAATGAATCTAAAACACACGTCAAACGACATTAAAAAATAGCTCTCAGGCTAAAAAAAAAGAAAACAAGCAAACCTTTTCTAGTAAGCCTTCTCCATTCTGTGAGTCTGTCCATGTCTGGTTAACGTACTAGAAAAAGTTTAAAGAGGAAAAAACAAATAATTGAAAAACAAGAAAGGACACTAAGTTATATATAAATATATAATTGGAAAGATCTAGCTTGCCGGGTTTATCTCGGGAGTGGGTTTAACATGTTTATCATTGACTGTGAGGACACAGCAACTGTGTCTGACTTCACTAACTGGTGGCTGTTGATGCTTCTGATATTTTTAAAAAATATCCTTCATCATGCACTGATTCTGACTGGGTGGGAGGTGGTGGTTATGGTGGTGGTCTCGGAGCTTCCTCGATTTCACAAATGCACTCATTCCCAAGGGCGACTCATAGCATTTATTCCTAATTGTAAATGTCCATTTGTTCTTCCCTCTATTCTCTTCCACCGAGTTGTTTTTTTGTACTCGTTGAGCTGTACCTGATTAGCTGTGGTATCCTGTGGGACGTCCCTACGAACTGAGTGCGCCCATTCTTTGTGAATCTGGACTTCCAAATAGCCGACTTAATTGCATTCAAATACGAAGCTGAATGTTCATCAGTTTAACTGTCTAATAATTGTAAATCTGTTTCGCTTCAGTGAGTATTGCATATTAAGCTCAGCTGGCAGTAGTCGAACCACAAACACCCAATTGTTATTCGGTTCTTGTCGAACTTGGTTGATATGCATATGTTTATACAGAAATGTGCTCGTTTTCTATGGTTCAGAACCATCCAATGTAACTTGAAATTAAAGTTTATTATCAAAGTATTGCATCCTTTTTCTTGATTTTCTTCTTTCTTGTTTGACAGACTGTTCACAGCCTCCGAGGTTTAACGTTTCAATGTATTACAATGCTCTGAAAAAGGGAAAAACGCAAGAAATGATGCTCATTATTTCTATTCTTGGTTCCTGCTGTCCTACATCAGGCTTCTGTGAGGGATCGTGCTTGAATGCACATCGTATTTCAAACAAATGTGATTTTAAAAACTGCTTTGGAGATGCTTTATGCATTGTTTCTACTTCTGCAATTAATCTTTGAAGCTGCTTTATAGAAAACAGATCATGTATACGTCAAAAGTATAATTTTATCTTTGTTATTATTGAATATACACTTCCGCTCAAAAGTTTGGGGGGCAGTAGGTAGCAGTATTTTTAATTGGTTTAAAATAAGCTTCTCCTGTTCACCAAAGCTGCATTTATTTCATTAAAAATACAGTACAGATTGTGTAAACTGCACTATAAAATAACTGTTCAAAAGTAGTTTCAAGAGTTAGCTGATGATTGATTGTAAAGCGTGTTTGGCATGCTGTCCCGGGAGAGAGCCCTGAGCTCTCTCCCGTTTGCAAGGCGAGAGGGGAGTTTGAGCTCGGGTAGATCTCGAGAAGTCCCCTGCAGTACTAGCTAATAAACCGATAGGAATTGCTCTTAAGAGATAACTACTTACTGGGAGCATATCTATAATGCTGATTTGGATTTAGTCAATTGACTTAAGTTGTATGTTTTGGGACGGTGGGAAAACCCATGTGAGCACGGAGAGAACATGTAAACTCCACACAGAAACGTCGGCTGGCTTGGTAAGGGTACATTCTTGCTGTCAGGCAACAGTGCTAACCACTGGGCCATTGTGCCATCCATCTAAATAAGGGGGCGTTAGGGTGGAAGGGGGGATCCTTCAAAACGAAGATGGCTGTGATATGGAACTTAGGGTATTTATAGTGCATTAGGAATCGTCTGATTGGTGAATCATGAATCGGCTAATGCATGACCAGCTGTGTTCATTCATAAGCGCATGATCCTCTAGAAATTTGTTTAGAAATAAACCCCACTTATCATTTAATTTAACAATTTATTCCAGTGATTTTAAGATGAATTTTCAGCTTCATTACACCAGTCTTTAGAGTCACATGATCCTTCAGAAATCACTCTAATATTAATTATTATTGTTAATATTGTTATTAGTAATAGTAATAAAAGCAGTAGTGACTGGAGTAATAATTTCATTTGAAACTACATACAGTAAGTAATAAATAAAAATATAATCATTTATTTTTTTACATTTAATAAAAGCTGCCTTGATAAACAGATTCATTTTATTTAAATTATTAAACAAAATTAATAATTTAAAACAAAATTGACCCCAAACTTTTGACCGGCAGTGTATATTACAATAAAGTGCACAGATATTGCTTTCCAGGTCATTCTGAAAATTTTGTTTTTCATAATTTAGCTTTAAACTATATATATATTCAAGATTAAAAAGATATTTAGTTTCATCACTGCTTCGAGCGCTTACCTAAACATTACTTATTTACTTCATATGTTGTTTTTTTATACTTTTAGTTTATTATTATTAATAATAGAACTACATAAAGTACTTTGTCATTTAAAATAAAATATGTAATCTATAGTGAAGTAACGTAGTTTGATTTTTAAATTCATTAAAGTTTAGTGGGTATGTGTCAAACATCAGATCTTCTGTTATATAAGTGACAAAATATCATTTTTTGGGAAGGCTGCACTGTCATCCTCATAGATTATTTTATTTTGTCTTCAAGCGATTGTTGTTGTAATTACGGCTGATTTATTGTTACACAGACTGAATGACACACTGTAAAAATGCAGGGTTCCACACAATTCATTCATGTTTTCCCAACACAAATCGATTAAGTTAATTTAACACTTTTAACAAAATTGGACTGAACATAAAACAATTAGGTTGTCCCAATGAAATCTCAAGATTTGTTTGGGCTCATTTTAATTACGTAGGTTGAACAAGTATATGCATTTGTTTGAGTGCATCTTGTATGTTATCAAAAAACATTATAAATAATAACAGATTTTGATGCACAGGAGTCAAACTATATTAAAAGCTGTATTACACATTTATTAACTGCATGCATAAAAATCATAATTAAATTTACAATTTACAAAAAAAAGGATAGTTCATTTGGCATATAGATCATTTACTCACCTTTTACTCGTTTTGAACCTTTGAGTTTCTACATTCTGGTAAACCCAAAAGAGGATATTTTGGAAGAGGTGCTGGAAATATGTTACCAATTAACTAACATGGATGTCAATGGTTACAGGTTTTCAGCTTAAAATGACTTCAAAATGTCTTCTCTGGTGTTTCACAGGCGATAGAAACTCTAGAAGATTTGGAACCAAACCGAAAGTGAATAAACAGTAAATTCAATTCATGTTTATTTATAATGCACTTTTACAATTGTGTCAAAGCAGCTTTATAACACAGAAGTTAAATGTTAATTTTTAGATGAACTATCCCCTTTATATTAAACAAAGACATTCGTTTTTTATCACGAAAATAAAGCAAACGCGACTATTTTAAGCGATGATAACAAAACATTTGAAAGAGATATAATGTATAATTTCTTTCAACATGAATCGTCCCTCGCTCGCATTCCATTCCCAAGCAGAATTCCATTACGGGATTTCCTCCTCTGCCCCCCCTGAGCGGCTTTCATTACACTCTCGCAGAGCCAAAACAAGTCGGGAGGAGAAGGCATGAATACAATGACTGCAGAAATCATAAAAGACATCTCCCAGCCCGACTCACCTGTCTCATCAGCACCAGAAAACGGACAGCTGCTCTTCATCCGAAGCGTCGCGTCCAGGAGAGACACGCAGACCACCAGCGGCAGTGCCAACCTCGAGGAGGGCAGCTCCCAGCCCCTGGTCTCCTCCTCAGCCACAGCTCAGCCCCAATCCTACACCATGACATCTGGAGAATTCATGCAATCCACCCCGACGTTCGCGCAGAGGTCCAGGAAGAACCTGTTTTATAAGATCCTGTGCTTCCTCGTGCTCGTCCTCCAGGGCGGCATGCTGGATTTCTACCTCATCGTCTTCACGGATCTCTACTGGTGCTCGTGGATCGCCACGGATTTAGTGGTCATTTCTGGATGGGCGATCTTTTTCATGAAGAACGCAAGGTCTAAGCGGGAACGAGCGTGCGGTTTCCACCAGAAGAGCTCCATTTTTGGATGCAACCTCGGCGAGTTTACCTTCGCCTACCTTGCATGGCTGATCTACGTGATCGCGTCCACCCCAAAAGTGGTGCTCGTGTTGGAAACGTCCATTCTGGATCTTATCGCCCTGAAGGTGCCCTTTGGCGTCACCGGGTTTAAAATCACCATGTTGCTGTGCGCGCCTTTGCTTTACTGCCTCATCAACTCCATCATTGAGGATCCCAACGGTGCCACCCGTTTCCACTCCCAAGGCTGCTTCGTGAGCACCTGCCTGGACATCCTGGACAGCTTTATATTGGTGGAGGTGCTTCTGAAGAACGAGATACCCAATGTTTACCTTAGATACACGGTCATATCCGTGTATTTCATCGCACTGGGCGTACCGGTGGTTTGGCTTTATGAGTTGACGGCCTCGGAGATGAACTGTCGCTGGGTTTGGGCGAGGTTCTTCACCGGCGTGCTGCTCAACGCGCCGCTGTTGGTGGTCCGGTGTTTCCTCGTTTTCGTGTACAAAACCCCAGTTTCGGTGTTTATGTTCAAGAACATCTTCTTTTTGGGGTGCAAGTGCCTGGAGCTGGTCGAACAGTGCGCGTCTTTGAGAGGTGTCCGGAGGTTTGCACGTGGACGCGCGGGAAACGCAGCCCAGTTTTCCCATTGCGTTTCCGAAAACGACATGTGCCCTCATGGATACGTGAACACACTGGCTGTCAATACCCAGTCATAGGCGCTCATTAGGGTCTGGTGTTCTGTCCGGAGGCCACGTATATACTTACACAGTAGTGTGTGTGTGTGTGTGTGTGTGTGTGTGTGTGTGTGCATCAGCCCTTTTAAGGGGAGGTACTACAGGTGCTAATTTTGCTTTTTAATTCACTGCAAACCAGTGAACAGGTAAATAAAAAGTATTGTTAGTATACTTGCGAACTATACATGCGAGTCTATTAAAAAGGTAATTGTTGATATCAGCAATTTTAATTCTTGATATTAAAAAGATAATTATTTATATCAACAATAAAAAAATTTGATATCAAGAATTAAATTGTTGATATCAAGAATACATATCCTGATAAAGAATAAAAGTCAAAACGACTTGCCAAAGTGAGTCAATTAAAGTTATATTATACTCTGGTATATAGTGTCTATTAATAAACCTAGTTAGTAATATATACTTATAATACTTATGATTCCCTCACCAACCCGTTTTTAAGTTTTCTATGCAAATTAGCCATAATCTTATTAAGCTTTCACAGGTGTGCACATGCTAACTGACAACATGTGCACAAGCTTTAGATACATATTTCTATATTACACTTTATATTTCGTTTAAAACATTATTGAATTGTTGCAAAAACTAGTGACAATAATCTCAAAACCTTTTAGATGTTTGATGAATATGCAAATCAGTCATCATCTTATTAATTTCCACAGCTGTGTACATTATTTGAACTGACTGAAAAGTTTTTTCAGCTGTTGTAGTAGTTCATTTGCAGCCTAAAAATGCAGACTTTTCAAACAATAGTTATGTTTTTTAAAACAATACAGTTATAATGCACATGTAAACAACATAAATTAGATTCTGTGAATATGATGATGTCATGTGCATGTTTATTACATATGTGCAAGTAGGCTACTTTATAACTAAAACAACAATAGCGGAGTACACAACCATGTGTGTTGATGCTGTTTTTACCACCGCCATGTTGATTATAGATATTTTTAAAACAGTTTTTACAAATCCATGAGAACAGGGGTTGTTTTGACTACACTGTCGTCAATAAACAAATCAGTTTTTAGTGTAACTCGTTGTCTAAATGGAACCTAAATTGACATGAAAACAAAAGGATGTTTCCACAACAGTTTCAATTTGTACAAATCAGGAAAACTTTTATTAGCTACTCAAGCAAAATGACTTGTGTAAATTATTCCATCCCAGTCTCATTCTAATTACGTAGCCCTTTATACATTTTTGGAAAGAGCAAAATACGTCCTCGGAGCTATGTTTATTTGCAGGTTTTGTTTTCACGAATCAACCAGAGGCTGCTGTGTGTGCTTTTTCAGATGTCAAATTTCTCTGACGAGTGCCATTCGCACCTGCTGTCCAGACGTAAATCCACCAGAGGCTGCTGTCCACTGACTGACTGACTGACTGATCAACCGACAAATCCCCCCCCAACCTCCCCCTTTTCTAAACCCAACCAATAGTGTTTTAAAAAGCACCGACTGACCAGCATCCACCCCTTCCCTAAACCCAACCAACAGTGTTTTAAAAAGCAATCCAGAGAAAGAAAAGCCCCCTGATGTTTACCACGTTTTCAGATTTTACCAAGTTTCTCACCATGTATATTACTTGTTTATTTATTTTTTTATCTTTTGTCTTACCTGCTTTCTAGAACCGTTCTTCATCAGACTCGAACCCCATTGTCATGATCAACTCGACTCTGCGTCTCAAATCCGCCGACATACATGTCGAGCTACTGGACAAACGTAACAGTGGAAAAGCCGTACATACGTAAGTGGTCAGCTGATAAGCGAGAAGATGAACGGTGTCATACCGCCCTCTAGCGTTCATTTTAAAGATGAAATGTAGCTCTTGCTACATAATTCGTGAACTCCAGTAATGTATATAGGGCTACGTTTTCAGAATGAGCCTATGTTGAGTTATTCTCGTCAAGTTGGTTATTTAAAACCATAAAATTTAGTTTATTAAAATATTAGTTAAATAAAAATTTGTTTGAATTAGAAACTCAATATATATATATATTCCTATAGTACCTCTCCTTATCTTCCACTCCCAAACGGTGCTACAACCAAACCACTCAACGTGCCAATGAAAAACATTCCCACCTGTGACCTCTACAGTATATACTTAATGTATCGGGACGTGACTGTAAACCAGTGCTTACATGATGACACAAGGACCTTTGATTTGCACTTGTTTTTGTGAGGCACTTTAATTACGTGAGGACTATTCATCTGGAGGAAATGTTCATAAGTGCAATGTTGTACGATTTATTTTCTATGTAAAAACGTTACGTAGACAGATGTTTATAGTGTTCTCAGCCACCTTGTCAACCGATGCACTTCTCCAAAAGTGTAAATACGCCTTGTGACTTGTTAGGCTTGGTGTGCACTTCAAATTGTGAATGTGATGTAGTCCTTCCCTATTTGAAATACCTTATGGCTACTGCCGAACAATGTATGATATATGGATTCCTGATGTTCCTTCAATGTTAATAGGCTACTTTAAGCATAGAATCGACGAGGACAACCAATGTAATCTCACACAACGTTTGTATATAGTGGCTAGTTTGTATTGATTTGTGTGATTTCATTCTTATGTTTTTTGCTCATTTGGGCTAGCCAAAACTTACTTTTAAAACTTTTACGTTTTTTATAAGAAAGAAATTGTATGAATTTATGCAAATTAGCCACTTTTCGAACAATATGTCAGATAGTTACGTCTCCTCCTAAGATCTAACTGTTATCCATCTTAAATGACCAAACTCCATCGCTGGTCCAACCAGCCATCAGTTTGTACAAGGCTACCTCTCTTTACAGAACCTCATGTTCCAAATGCTATAACGTTCATGTCAGTAAATGAGGTATGATTATTAATATTAATACCATTTTTGACTTAAATGTGATAGCATCGACAGACAAATTGCTGAGATGATCCATCTATACATGCAGTGCATCTGTGTCTAAAATAATGATAATTCAGAATGCCCTGTCTTGTTAGTTACAATGAGAATTACAGTCATTTTAACAAATATGTAAACACTTAAAGGGATAGTTCACTCAGAAATGAAAACTCTTCGATATTGAAAGAAGATATTGATTAATGAACAATATGGATATTATTGAAAAAGGGTAGCCATTGACATCAATACTATTTTTCCTTTTTTAGACTAACGGTTACCAATTTTCACGTAACGTCAACAGTTACTTGCTTACTATCATTGGGCTTATTCTCTGATTTTTAACGGGTCGCCACAGCAGAATGTACCGCCCACCGATATTTAACATTTTTCTAAATATCTACTTTTTTTTATTTAGCAGAAAATAAGGCATCCAAACAGGTATAGATCAAGTAAAGCGTGGGTGAACTTTTTAGTAGGGCGACATGGCAAAAATGCAATCTCGATATGTATTTTGCTTATTGAACGATAACGATATATATTTTGATATTAGTTGTTATTGCTTAAAATTAGAGGGTCTGTTAAATGGCATAACATATTTTTGACAATAAATTTCCGGTGGCCAAAAATTCCGTACATCTCTAATCTCAACACACTTTTAGATTCCCATTGTTGCACATTTCTGCTGTGTGACTGACTCTTAGATGAATACAGAGCAAAAAGGTCCAGAGCTTATCGTTGTTATTGACATAAATTTTATTCTATTTTTGATATTGGTTTGATATAATATAGTTTATCAGACTTTTTAGTATCCATTATTGTCCATTTTATTGAATGATGAACAATACAGATTTTATTGAAAAAAGGTAGCTATTGACATCAATACTATTTTTCCTTTTTTAGACTCTGAACGTCAATGGTTACCGATTTTCACTCGCTTGCTTACTGTCATTCGGCTTAGTCACTGATTTATAAGGGGTTGCCACAGTAGAATGTACACCAAACCGATTTTCAGCATTTTTCAAAATATCTCCTTATTGGTTTAACAGAAAATAAGGCATTAGGCATAATGTTTAGACCAAGTGAAGCGTGGGTAAACGTTTTAGTAGGGCTGGGCGATATATAAAATAAAATCTTGATAATTATTTTCCATATTGAACGATGATGATTTATATTTCGATATGAGTTGTTAATGCTTCCAGATTTGAAAGAGTACCCCAACAATGACTGAATCCATGAAAATTAGTGGATCTATTAAATGGCACAACATATTTTCGGCCGATAAATTTTTGGTGGCCAAAAATTCGGTACATCTCTAATATCAACACACTTTTAGATTCCCATTGTTGCATATTTCTGCTGTGTGATTGGCTTTAGATCAATATAGTATAAAAGCTTAGAATTTTTATTGACCCTACTACTACTACTATTGAGCCCTACTTTTTTAGTATCCAGTATGCAGTATCCAGTTGTCTGCAAAGTGACAGTTCACCCAAAAATGACAATATGGATATTATATACTCATCCTACTGTTAGTTCCTCCAGATCCCCAACACATCCATTACGATAAACTACATTGAAAAATATAGTTGGTATTTTCCAACTACTGAGTGATAAAAACATTGACAGCCAATCAGAATCCACTGTGTTAAGAGCAGATAACAAAAACTGTCAAAGTTCACTTACTGTTATTATTAATGTGAATGGAAAATAATAGCACAGAGAACATTTTTGTTTTCATATAATGAGAGTATTCCCAGTGGTGGGTTGTAGCTGGAAGGGCATCCGCTGTGTAAAACATATGCTGGATAAGTTGCCGGTTCATTCCGCTGTGGCGACCCCAGATTAATAAACGGACTAAGCAGAAAAAAAAAGAATGAATGAATAATGAGAGTATGTTGGCTTTCAAACAATGTTGGTTTGGACCCCACTGATATTCAATGTAAGAAGAAAACAATATGGATATTATTAAAAAAGGGTAGCCATTAACATCAATACTTTTTGTCCTTTTTTGAACTATGAACGTCAATGGTTACCAATTTTCACTCGCTATCATTCGGCTTAGTCATTGATTTATATGGGATTGCTAAAGCGCAATGTACCGCCTCTCAATTTTTAACATTTTTCAAAATATCTACTTTTTTCCTCAGAAAATAAGGAACCCAAATAGATTTAGAACAAGAATAGCATAAGGGGAAAAAACAATGCCAAAATGTTCATGTTTGCGTGAACTCTCCCTTTAAATGTGAGAAGCGAGCTTGTCCTGTGTTTTGAAATAGCAGAGTATATTCTAGAGAGTAACATCATGTAATTACTAACAGATTTGCATCCTTGTTCTAACATATTATTACTCTTGTGCTTTGAGGATTGGGGTACAGGGTGAGCTAAACGTGTTAAATATGCAGGCCGAAAGTGCATTATGGGATTTTTTGTGCCTCATTGCTCAGTATTTAACCTGGCAAATATACACAACTACATACTACGCATGTTTTCTTACTGATAGATTTTGGTGTATATACAGTAGATATTAAGTAACGTTTTTAAATAAGGACGACCTAACTCTCTCTTGTTTATCCACAATGTTTTACAAGGGATTTTTTTTTTTACAAGGGCTTTAATTTCTAAGTTACTGTTATGTTTACATAAGACATTATATGCACTGCAACAGCTGCAAGGCTCCGGATGTATTCAATTGGTTAAAAAGTAATAAGAGGTGCAAAGTTGGATGCAAATGATCTAAATTATAGTTACAAAAGCACACTGATTACCAAAGAATGCTGCTTTATAAATTTAGAAACAAACTCCTATTATATACAGACTTCCAAAGTTGAGAGATTTATCTAGAATAAACTATTAAGAAAGTAACTCTAGTGCAATATAATACAGCAATTCCTATAAAAAAAAAAAAACAAGGACAAAAGTAACATTGCAAGCCCAAATTACTTAGACGTGTGTTCAGTAGCTAAACATAAGCTTAAAAATCATGTGCTGTGCTGTGCTGTTTACCAAGGTACTTGTTCTGCTCCACAGTAAAAGTGAACCAATCACACACTCTTGTGTTCATGTCGAATCATGTGTGATGTGTAACAAGTAATCCTTTATAAAATAGCCGATGGTTGAACTCATTGCCCATCTGTTTCCTGTTGTCATTCCTGACACAAACAGATTGAATGTTTTGGGAGTGTCAGCTAAGGCTGAGCAAGAACCAAAACATTCAACCCAAATCAGCTCCTCATTGTTTTAGTGAAGAAATCTGAAGAAATGGGGCTGTTCAGGAAAAGCTCCATTTGTAATTTGGCCAGAGAGGAATGTTCCTCTTGATACTTGCGTTCCTCCCTCACTGTGGAATATCTGGATCCGTATCCCTGATCAGACCCCCGTGACGGCCTTGTTTCAGAGGCTCCTTCCATTTCACTTTCCTCCATCTCTACAGGCTGGGACATGTCCATATCTTGATACAGATGGAAGTTGTCCTCCATTGAAGGTGGAGGTGCTGTCAAGTCAGTGAGACAAATGTCTGATGGTTCTCCCATTGGGAATGCATCAGGATATGAGGTTTCCACTGGAACTGATACTGGTTCAGCAAGGAGACCTGGGTAGAGTTGTGGTGCCACACTTGGTATTTCAATAGAACATTCCACAGCGGGATGATAGGAAACTACTTCACTGTATTTTGGATGGACTCTTGGATTAACAATCAACATGGACGACTCTTCGGGCGTCTCATTAATTTCAGGAATTACAGCACAAACGCTCTTGGTTTCTGGACGGACGTCCACTTCTTTGACTAGGATGGGAGGTCCGATGTTACACATTGGTATTAATTGATATATTTGTGGGACCTCAAAAAGTGCATCCGTTTCTACTCTCGCTTCATCCTCGCTGTTCACAAACTCATTCTCAAACCAGTCGGGATTCTTCATTTGGTGCGCCTGGAAGGTTTCGATTGCGTTCCTCAAGGCTTTCCCTGAGGGGCAGTTGAAGTACTCATCCTTTCCGATATCCTTGATGCAGCGCTCCGTCCCCTGCTGATACTTCTCCACATCGAGGATGCGGAAGTAGAGCTCTTCGAAATGCTTCATCAGCTTGTATTTGACCGCAATGTCAAACAAAGACGGCACATCGGCTTCAGTGCTTACATCGTCAAAATAAGCCACCAAATACTTCCCATAGGACGCCGGACGCTGCATATCAGGTGTGATCAGCTGTAGGGCGAGAGTCAGCATGTCGCCAACCGGAGAGTGCACATCTTCCCGAAGGAGGACGGGAGGCTCTCCGCAAATTGCCCCCCATTTGGCTTGAACCCCTCGGGAGCAGAGGATCAAGATCTTGTTTGAAGACTGCTCGATGTGTCGCTTTTTTTGCTCAATCCACTGCAGTCGGCCGATGGTGCCGAGCCAAGTTGTGTCCAGTAGGTCCAGCATGACATCAGTGCCACATTTGGCCCGGAGGAAGGCACAGAGCTTTAGCACGATGTCTGTGTAAAGAGGATGATCTCTAGAGTAGATGATCAATATGGAGCGTGGGCCGGGTGGAACTGGCGTTGTTTCCAGGGGAGCTTTTTCTGGTGGCTTTTCTGCAGCTGAATGAAAATGACAAACATGGATACTTGTTGGAAATGATAATTCACTACATATTTAAAGGATAATTCATCCAGAAATTAAAATGACCATTTAGATTTTCTCATATGGTTTCAAACCTATTTGAGTATCTTCAGGAAATATTTTGATGAATGCTGGTACCCATTGGCTTCCATAGTAGGAATGAAAAATACTATGGGAGTCAATGGGTGCAAGCTACTAGCATTTAACAACATATCTTCTTTTGTGTTTAACAGAAGAAAGAAACTCAAATAGGCTTTGAACGAGTGAAGGGTGAGTACATTTTCATTTGTGGGTGAACTACCCCTTTAAATGTATTCTTCAGTCTTGGTACTGATTGTGGCTAACCACAGGAAGACATCAGCGCCACAGTTGTGTAACACACGATAAACGTCACTGATATAAATATCTATCTCTAAAATGTCACTGCCTACCTGGTGGTGGTTTCCTGCAGCGCAGATAAACTGCGAAAACACCAATGCCACAAAGTAAGAGGCATAATCCAACCCAAATGATCCAGATTGTGCAATTATTCTCTGGAGGGACAGCTGATACAGAGAAACATATATACAAATAAGTAGAATTAATATACTATTAAAATTTCATTTAAAAGAGAAAACTGTGTCCATACACACCAGGAACACAAATGTTAAAACTGTGGCTCTTTCGACGACAGTCATTGGCACACTTTTGGAAAAATGGCTGGATCTAAATTTGAATAAGCACTTATAAGTTCAAGAGCATTCATTAAACATATCATTACTCCATTAATGAGGTTAGTCAAACTCACATACCTGAACATCAAAATTACAGCATGTGCGTGACCAGTTCTTCAAGTCATATGTCACATTTAATAAAGTCTTGCTCTCCTAAACACATAAACACACGCACACTCTGAAAACAGCTCTATGAAAAATGTATTTGAATGTATTTAAACAGACGTGAAGAGAAAGTGTCTTACATTATAAAGAGTCTTCGTTTCTTTCCTATTGCAATTTACAAAGACGTTGTATTTTTCAACATTCTCTCCGGGATTGAATGCAACGTACAGAATATCTTTGCCATGTGGATCTTTGGTTCTCCCTACTGTAATATTGGGTTGCCATGTATCCCCTAGGAAAATCATCAAATTGTGCATATACAAGTGATTCAGGGTAAACATATATACATACAAATACACACTGTAAAAATATCTGTTAATTAACAATTTCTGTATTTTGTGTTTTCTGTTTATTTACAGTTGTGAATTGCATTATGGAACACTGATCTCAGCTCTGTCGACTTTTGATATGGAAAATTCAACTGGACAGTTTAACAAAGTTACTTTTATCGACATTTAAATAGTTTGAGATAATATAACCCATAAGAAATAATGTAAAATATAAATTAATCTGTAAAATTACGGAAATGTACTGGCAGCTTATTACAAGGCTTTTGCAGCATGATATACAACACTATCTCAGACAATATATCACCTTTAACCATTAAAAATGTTCATAAAAGTCACTTTTTCCAACTTTGTAAGGGTAAAAGTTATTAGAAGAAAGATCAAGGTCTCGTAATGCAAATCAAAAGCATAAATAATAAAAAAATAAAATCACAAATCAAAAAATATGTAAAACTGTGAATTAACGGATATTTTTTACAGTATATATATATATGTATATATATATATATATATATATATATATATATATATATATATATATATATATATATATATATATATATATATATATATATATATATATATATATATATTTCTTTTTTTTTTTTTTTTAGGGCTCCACAATATATTGATTCAGCATCAATATCATAATGTGTGCATCTGCAATAGTCACATCGTAGCAGGATCTGCAATGTCAAACTGGGATTATAATTTATCAAAAAACACAGTTCAGAACAGACCAGAGTTTAACTTTAATAATATGAAAGACTTAAATATTATGTGTTTTTTTTAATGCCTGTGACTTTATGCCATTTATTCACTTTATTGTGAATTTAAACCATTTGGGCAAAAAAAATTATCAAGCTTGTCACTTTAATGAAGATTATTTTGTTTAATTATTTGATGCAATATAATAAAAACTATTCAGAGTTATTTCACATTTAATTACTGAATTTCTATTATTCAACACTGTTAAAAGTCCAACTGAAAACCGTTAAGTTCTGTTTATTTCTTTTTTTTTTATCTTTGTTCAATCTGCTTTAATTTATTTTGCATAATTATACATATTTTATGCATATCATTCAATGATTAACTATTAATTATTTATTATTAACAATTAATAATTTACAATTATTAAATGTTAATCATTCAAGTTATTATAAAATTCTGAATTCTTTCCAAATAGAGCAATATTGCAATATATATATATATATATATATATATATATATATATATATATATATATATATATATATATATATATATATATATATATATATATATCGCAGAAACAAAATATTGCGCAGGTCTAATATATATACTTAAGGTGGATTAAAACCCTCGACCAAAGTTGTCCTAAAACTATTTTTAACAGTTTTAGTTATTATGATTATTTTTTGATACACTTAAAATGTTGACTACTCTATATAAACATACAAATGTGTATGGGTATATTTATCATCAATAAGCTAATCTCTCACCTCTCTCAAAACAGATCTTGGTCTTTCGCATCAAAGGATCATCACAACCTGTGGTTACAGTTTAAAACTGAGATTTCCATGCAAAATCATTTGAGCATTGAGTATTTTAATTGAGTCACCTACCTGGAACTTGAAATGTTTTTCTAACATTATAAAAGGTGTGGTCTAAATTTGGCTTGGGAAGGTTTGAGACAGTCACGACATATGTGCTGCCTGGATCTACCACAACTTTATCCAGAGAAAAAGACCACTGCGATAAAACACATCATATTTCAGTATTTGTGGCAATCAATTGTCAGTCAATCAATCATTCAATTGGTTAATCAGTCTTGCCTTTTCTCCAGCACGATTTCTCATGGTCTTAAAGGGTTTGAGGAAATTGTAATGAACGCATAGATGTTCGTTGGTGGATGATTTCATCACACTAAGCTCTGTTCCATTCAAATGGCTTATGCTTCCTGCAAAAAAATAACAATAAAAAGTATTATTAAACTATAATTACAACAATCTAATACACACAAGTAGATACATGTCTATTAATAAAAGAACAAATTGGAAACCTTAATGAGAACTAGCATATTCCCCAGGCTGGCAACAGGCCGGACAAGACACTGTTTATAACAGGTGACCTACCATCATCTTTTGCTTTCCATTCTGCCACAATCACTGGCTCCAAATCACCTTTCATGTTTTCTCTGACATCAAAACTCACTTTGAAATCATCTGGTGCGCTGGGAGTGAAAGCTGAAGGAATTAACCATCCTTTATACAAGCAATTATCTGTGGGGGAAATAACACAATGATTTCTTTATAAATAGACAATAAATATTTTCAAATTAAAGACAATAATTACAAAAGAAAGAAAACAAGCACTTACTAAAAACTGCTGTACAAGGTACTTCCTGGAGAAAGCGAAATAACAACAGATTAAACAAATATGAGTCTTGTAAAACCTTCAAAACAAACTTATACGATGTCTTAACACATAGAATAAAACATAATAGCACTTTTTAATAATATTTGGCTGTCTTTGTGTATTATTTTACCTCTTGTGTACAGTTCAGAGAATTCCCATCATCCAGAAGTCCGAGATTCAGCACTACAGGTATAAAGGTGAAAAACACAGCACCTTTAAGGTACAAGAAACTCATTATTCGCGTTTAATCCGACATAAACCTCAGTAAATGTAAACGAATGCACGCTTTAAGAGGTTTAACAGACGACAAGCGTTCGACAAGTTAACAATGTTGGCGTAGGTGCAGGAAACAGTCGACCTAAAAAAGCTTCCTGGAAATTCTGTATGCAAAGCAACTTGAGTAACACACACCTCGTGTACTTTGGAAACGCGCGACGCGACGCAACCTTTTTTGGATCAACCAATAAGAAGAAGTTCTGTTGCGTCGCGTCGTCTTAGATGTAGGTTGTTTTTCAGTTTATTAACTCAATGCTACATAAAAAGATGTATTACATATTTAAATAGTTTAACTCAAAAAATATATGTAAAAATACTTTAGCTCTTTATGTAAATTTAAATGTTTTCAGGGCATTAGTCAGTTTTTATCTTTGAAGATCGGCTACTGTACAGTTTGCGGTTTGTGCGTCATAACAAGACGCGAAAAGCCCCAGCATATTCAGCTTCTTTTGTTGTATTCGTCGTAGTATACGACATAACACCACTAAAAAATTAAACATCCTGGGGATTTTTAGAAAACGTTAACAAACAAAAAAAATAAAATGATTCAACGCCAAGAACATAAGCACACAAATACAGTCAACGCACGCGACGCCATATTAGAAAAACATCACAGAAAGATCAACTGGACAACAGTGAATTACTTACAAATAAACACCTTTAATGATCTTTAGAAAAAATGAGGTAACTTAAACAAGTAACAAAAACAATTAGCTACATAAAAATGCACGTCTGTTTTAAATATAACAAATTGTATAAACATTATAATAGCTACAATAACAAACAATCCTGGATTTAAATCACACTGCTTGTTTAAATGTTGAAACAAAAGATTACTGAAAACATTTCCAACGATGTAATATTTTTAAACATGCAACGTTATTAACTGGACAATAAAGCATCATTAATTACCTTTAGATTGTTTATTTATTATTTAACGTGTTTAAATGTATGTGTCTACATAAATATTTTATCTCTCAAACCATCTTTCCCTTTCCACATGAGGGCGCTCTATCACCATTAAAGTAGATGTAAAATCTCTAAACATTTCTATGCTGAAATATAGATAGGCCTATTTGGTTTTTGTGGTCTGATGCAGAGGTAATTATTTGTGATGTTTTCCATATATATATATCTTCTTCATCGATTAGTGAAGTTTGTTCCTCGCCATTGTGGCCACTGGCTTGCTTGGTTGGGACTTGTGGAGCTGCGATGGATTTGCTCTTCAGTGTTTCGACTTTCAGCAGTGTAAATTAAACCATGAACTGAACTTCAACTCTGAAAACTGGACTGACACAGTTTTAATTTACTAGAACGTCTCTGTTTAGCTGATTTGACACGATCTGCATAATAAAAGCGCTATAGAAATGAACATGAATTGAACAACAATAATAAATAAAACATACAGACAGCATTTCCTTTATTTATTTTTGTTGTTTGTTATAGTTGCCCTGAATACCTCATACCGCTCCCTCCCCACGCACCTCCTCCCCTCGCACCTCTGGACTCTGACACACACACACACACACACACACACTCATCTGCACTGGTCACTTTATGCAGACACATATACTACCTCCCAATATGTCACTGTCACTTTATCACAATTATCATGTTTACAAGTTCTTTTTGCACTATACTGTTTTTTATCTGCACAACTCTGGTTTACTTTGCACTCATTGCTATATGCCCTTAATGTCACTGTATTGTTTACAATTTTTTTATTACATATGTATATTTCTTAGACTACATTTATGTGCAATGTGTATATACTGTAAATTTTCTAAATTTTCTTTTTTTCTTAAACCCTACTATTTTTTATATATATATTTTATATTAATGTTAAGCACCTTGGGTCTGAGAGTAACGCAATTTCGATTCTCTGTATGTCTTGTACATGTGGCTGAATTGACAATAAAGCTGACTTTGACTTTGACTTTGATAATGCACTAATGAACCAGAATCTAGAGTGCAGATGAGTCTATGAGGGGCTGACAACACACACTGCCATGTGAAAACCCTCAGATGAAGTGAATGAGGGCCCAGGTGTGCTCAACTCCTCTACTGGACCGAGATGAGAGGAATACAGGGAGCTAACAAGTTGCATCTTGGGATTTGAAGGGAACTGTTTGGACACTTTCATGCAGGCTGTGAAAAACTGGACAAAAACATTGAGTTTTATTACAAAAATGTGGCCGTTTTCCCTCCTCCATCATTCCAGAAGCAGCACATTAAAGTTACATTCAGACTTTTGCAATATCAAAACAGCAAGAAAAAAAAATCATTTTAAGAATAAAAATATTGATCACAAGGATGTTACAGGAGTTTGTTTGTTTAACATATTTAACTTTAGGTGTACCAACAGAGTGAACAATTTGAGTTATTTCCACACTTCCTTTGTTGGTTGATATATGAATGATTATGAATATCAAAAATTTTTGATGTTACAGCTTTTCTATAATTTTATGGTTAAATTAGCAAATGAAAAACCTTTAAAACATTTTAAATAGCACAAAAATCTGAACATTGAATGGAGTTAATAATTAGTTTTGGGTATATTGAACTCAAATGTGTGGGAATATTTTTATCACCGTTGAATTAAAATGTATGTAGAATCTATAAACATTTCTTTGCTGTCTGGTTTGTTCTTATTTGTAATCGCTCTTTTTCACTAAATACCTATTTATCATTAAATGTTTTTTATATCAGTCTTTTTTTATCACTAAATAAAATCGAAAATACTGTAAACATTATTTATCATTAATATTTTGCAATACTTCTTATATACATTCAACATATTCGGGGGAAATGCATGACAATGCAAATCATTAATGAACATATCTATCTGTAAAATAAACCCTTCAGAATGCAGAAATAAATTAAACTAATGCAAGAACTGATAAAGTGGAGAATTACGAGACAACAGCCTTTAAATTATGTGGTGTAATTTGAACATGCTGTAAATAGAAATGCTGGGATCCATGCAATTCCTTCATATTGTCTCAATACAAACTGATTAAGTTATAATTTTCTGATTAAGTTATAAAATTTATAATCAAATTTAAGTAGATTAAACATAAAACATTTAAGTAAAAAAAAAAAGTTTGTCCTGTCTCTGTAATTCTGTTGCACTGTAGAAGCTCTGTCACGAAAACAAATTCCTTGTATGTGCGAACATACCTGGCAATAAAGCTCTTTCTGATTCTAAAGCTCTTTCTGAATATGTTGTCTCCACCACCAAAAAAAAAAAAAATTGAATAAATTTCTCATATCTCATATTTGTTGAGTGCACAGACAACAATTGAGAGGGTGTATGAAAAGAAACACTTTAAACTGTATTTTGGATCTTTCCATTAATTATTGAGCTAAAGAAAATGTTACAATTAACAGATGCCTGAAAACTGTACAGAATATCACCTTGTGTCAGTCTGTTAATTGCTGATTCCTTGTAATTTCTTATTTAAAATATTTCTGTTATTTTTGTCAGTGTGTTTAACTGTGTGATGATCAATTCAAAATAACTTTGAATGAACTCTCATGTAAATAAATGAAGAGTTAGGATGCAAAAACCTCCAAAAGTCATCTGATATTTTCTTCTAAAATAAAATGTTATTTTCTGACTCGACTTTTATATGGACAAATAAGCTTTTCATTGCATTTAAAGTGAAATAACTGAACATAAACAGGAGGCTGAGAAAAATTGTCATTTAGGAGAACATTTCAGATGGCATTTACAGGTTTTTGCATCTGAACTCTTCATTTACAATATATAGGCAACCCAGTTTCAATATAACCAAGTAACCTGAGTATTTGTACAGTTGAATTGTCAGAAATTGCAGTTTTAAAAGTTAACCAGGCTAAGGCATATGATATTTATCAAGTCTCAATGATGACATCATTTGTTTTTCAATTATATAAAAAGAAGCGTGAACTGAGTGAGGCTGAACTATATAAAATGGCTGATTGGGGCTGACAGGTCTGTGTTTTGACTGAATGAGAGAGTTATATACAACAGCACGGCTAATATGACAAGCTGCTCTGGAAACTGGAGCAAAAAAATGTCCCACACTGGCAAAATCCAATCATACTTATGAGTCTGAAACAAGAATTTGCTGTCCATCATATTCGGGGGTCAAAGCCAATTTGGAAAATTACACCACCAGAAAATTGAATCCGACCAATGACTTACATTTTTCCAGTGATATATGTCAAAAGGGTCTAAACCGTAACCATGATATTATAGTGATTTGGTCATGGTGACACACTTTTCCATAATTAAACCAAAAACAGTGGAGAATATATGCCAAAGCTCAACTGTAGGTCATGAAAACTAAACAAAAGCCTACAATGAAAGAAAATGCAGACTGTTTTGTGGAAGATTAAAGGTAATAATGATGTAAATAATTCAATTCAAGCACAGACAGATCAAGTTGCTTCCTCAAAGTAACATCAGGAGCCATAATGTGTTAGTTGCATATAAAGTACAATGGTTTAGCACTACACAATCTACAGTCTGTATGTTATTCACGATTCATTCAAGATTCATACATGATTTATCCATTAATAAAGCATTAGGAATTAGGAAACTTATAGTAAAATGTGCACTACTTCAACATTAATCTTGCTTATTACTCTTTAATGATTGATCACATTCCTGCTATGAATGGTTGATGTTTTAGGATAGTAATGATTGAAAATGATCTCACTGTTGTGTAATGCAATAAAATGTTTGAAAGTTTAAGTGTGTGTTTAAATAGTTTTGACTGATTTGAAATCAATGATCACTCCTTTGTACACTGTGAAATTTAAAAAAAAAAAAAAATTCTGTAATTTATCCTAAACATACACTCACTGGCCACTTTATTAGATACACCGTACTAGTACTGAGTTGGACCCCCTTTTGCCTTCAGACCTGCCTTAATCCTTCATGGCATAGATTCAACAAGGTACTGGAAATATTCCTCAGAGATTTTGGTCCATATTGACATAATAGCATCACACAGTCGCTGCCGATATGAAAGCTGCACATCCATTATGCGACTTTTTGGGTCCACCACATTACAAAGGTGCTCTTTTGGATTGAGTCTGGT